ATTTATGAGATCTCTGTGTCATTCCTTATGATTGCATGTGCCTGAATGTAAAATTTCTCTTGAAAAAAAGTATTAGTCCAATAAGAACATTTCCAAAATCATTCTCGTGGTTCTTTTTTTCTCTGCTTGGCAAGGACTCCTGTTCTGGGGGGTGAGAACGAGCCCGGAAGTGGTTGAACCGCACCCTCAGCCCTGCCGCCCCGCCCCCAGGGCATGACTGCACCCCACCCCAACTCACGCAGGACCCCCCCCCCCCCCCCGGGAGCTCCCGCCCCGGCCTGCAGGAAGCCAGGGCTGCAGATGCGTTCTCACAGTTCCCGGCCACAGGCCGACTCTTGCCTTGGGGCCCTGATGCCTGCCGGCGGTCTCACCCACGTCCTGTGGCTGGCTGTGACTCGGGTGGGGTGCGTCCCCCCAGGCATGGCCAGGCAGCGCAGCGATCAGCCCTCCACTCCCCCCCCCCCCGTGCTCTTCCCCACAGGGAGCTCTGGCTCTAGAAGGTGGGATAGGGCACCAAGGGCAGAGGTCCAGGAGGCAGCTGGCCTCCACCCTCTGGAAAACAATCCAGAACTTTCCGGAGACCAGGTGTGGCTGTCCTCCCCAGACCCCACCTGGTGGCCAGACCTGGGAAGTTTCTAGTTTCCTTTTGAAGAAGGCTCTCAGTGTGGGCACAATGAACCAATGGGCAGCTGGACCCAGAGACTGTCCCTGATTCTGCCCCATCACTTTCCTTGCCTTTTCCTCTGGTGTGACAAGAAAAAAAAAATCTGAGATGCTCTAAATTATATTACAGCAGGCCAGAGGGTGCAAGGAAGAGACCAGGGAGGTTAATCAGTTCACAGCGGCAGAGCAAAGCCAACAAAACCCTGCCCGCATCCCTGAGTGTGGGCTGGAGTTCTGCGCTAACTCCCAGGTGGCTGTTTCCGTGGTTACGTAAAATAGCCAGGCACCACCAGTCCCCGCAGCCTCCACCTCTTGCTTGCATGTCACAGAACTTTCCAGACTGTTGTGATCACTGATCCAAAGGAGCAAACACTTCTTCCTTCTGCACGAGCCCCTATCCCAGCACTGCCTGCTCCCCGCTCTCCCACCTGCTTTATCTACAGCCAGTGGAAATCCTTTCCAAGCAAGTTATGCCTTTCTCCCCCAGACCGTTTCCATCAAAGCTCCGGTCAACTCCAGGACAAGGGGCATGCTTGTGCCCCCCTCCGGGTCCTGTTGCTGGTGGTTCAGACTGCATGCCCCCTGCTCTGGTCCCTTTCTGGCCATCGTGGGGCTCAGTAAACCCTTTCTTTTAGAAAAGCCTCTGGCTGTGAAAGTGTTTTGTTCACGAGGGCTTTCAGGAAACGAGCATGAAGTGTTACTACTGGGTTGGGAAGCATTAGTATATACAATGTTTGACGCTCTAACTCGGGCACCACCTGGCCAATGACCCTGCCTGGAGCTGACTACCTTTGGGGGGACCGGTGACAGAGAAGAGCACACCATGCAGGTGCAGGCACCACACCCCCACATCTGTTCACCAGCACTCCCAGGAACAGAGGGGTCTGTGAGTGCCCCACCCCGCCCCCGAGGCTGGTGGGAAGGGCCACAGCAAACCCAGCTCTCCCTGTGGCCCTCCAGTGGCCCCCACCTCTCCAGGCAAGGAGGGAGGGCGGGGCTTCTAGTTGGCACCCAAGCTGAAAAGGAAAGAAAAAGGGGGAAAGTTGAAAAACACTTTTAGAGAAAATGTGTCTTCAGAGTCCCTCTCCCCAGCTTTGAAAGCGTGACGCTGATTCTTAGTAGATAGATTTTTAAGGCTATTGTTTTCTTTTCATTCTTAAACATCCTCCATTTTGCAGTTTCTCCCCTCTCAGGGATATTACTGCGACCACTTTGCTGTGAATGAGACTTGGAATCGTTTTCTCATGTGATGTTGGCCACTCTAAGACAGACCAGAAAACAGGGTAGCAACGGCAATGTAGCAATTTCCACACATAAGAGTCGTTTTTTGTACTTGTAAGGGGACAAATAGGGAGACTTCCTAAAACCAATCATGGTGTTCAATTATAAATGTTACCTTTAGGTTGATTCCACCCCCTCCCAAACCAAGCATGTGCTGGCTTATGGAACAACAGAATTTGGACCCAAGTCCGTTTAGGTGGCATGTTTATCTTGTCACCATTCATCCACACGTGTTCACGGGCAGCTCCAGTCCCACCCCTGCGTTGGGTGCTGGCCTCATAGTGACAGAGGACCAGTACGGCCCCACCTCAGGGGCTCCCGGCTCAGACAGACAGATGCAGAAATAAATGACTGCAACGGAAGGGCCGCCAGGTGTACACACACACACACACACACACACACACTAAGTGTGCGCACACGCACACACACACAGACCACGTCCTAAAGGAGCCTGAAGAACCACTTCTTTCTGTGGGTGCGCAGATTTGCAGGAAAATCCAGACTGTTTGGGCGACACGGAAGAGGTACTCGAACCGGGATGTTCACGCACCTGCCTGCACATACCTGCCTGCAGAGGCCGCCCGGGAGCATGCGCACGGGGTGGTGGCTGGCTGGGCTGGGCACGGCCAGGCGCCCTGCGGGCACAGAGGATGTGGTGTCCCAAGTCACCCAGACAGCAGCAGCCCAGGGAGGTTGTCTTTTCCACACTGTGGGGAAAAGGTGGCCCGACAGGTAGACGTGTCTGAGTCGATGGAGTCGGAGCCAGTGCTGTTTAATGTCACACAGCGGGGGCTTCACTCTTCTCAGTCCTCCCCCGATTTCCTCATCACGGCTGTGCCCTGTGCCTCTCCGTGGCTGAGGCCGGGTCATCAGGGCTCTGCATCTGCCCCTTTGAACAGGACACAGTTCCAACCCATGAATCCCACCCCCCTGCTGCTTACGGGGAGTCCTGGCAGAGGGCGCCGGCCTTTGGACACAGCGAGCAGGACGATGGGCCCACGCCCCCCACGCCCGGCCCTCCTGGGCTCCTGGTGGGTGGCTGTGACAGGGGACGGGTCTGTACACCTCCAAGGACCTTCCTGCATCGTTCCTGGGGAGGAGACAGGTGTCAGCAGGTGTCCCGGATCCCAGCCAGAAGATCTCCTCTCAAAAGAGGGAGGCAAGGGACAGTGTTCATGGCCAACTATAGCATTTTAGTTGCTGGCCAATTTTTAATGCTCTTTTTCCCCCAAACTTTCTATGCTATCATTAGGCCTTCTACAACTGTTTAACAATGTTTAAATAAGGCCATATCAAACACCACGGTGAAGTGCTAGAGAGAGAGAGACAGCACTTCCCACGGTCCTGTCCTGGCTGTCCGGGGGCAGTGGGGCCCCCTCACTCACTGACTTGGAACATGGGGTCCCCGGTGCTGCTTTCTCAGGTCCAGGCCACCAGGGCAGGCAGCCCGAGCCACCCGTGGCACACGGTGCCAGCTGTTTTGCAGGCTGCACACCAGGAGTGCCGCAGCCGTGACTGTCTACTCGGGCTCCCGCCCGCCTGGCCGTGAGGTATGAGGTGGGGGCCTAGCAGAGTCCGTGGGAAAAGGAACGAAGAGCCCGGCCACGATGCTGCCTCTCAGGCCAGCAGCTGTCCCCACTGGGACCAGTTTCTGGAGGAAGGAGAAGTGGATCACGAACTCGGATGATTAATAATATGTCTCAGAGGAGTTCAAACTGGTGCCACAAGTACCAAAGAGTGTGGTTTTGCAATTAGCTAATTGCTTTCATTCCCGCTGGTGTGATGTGCTTGGTGCAAGTCCTGGGTGCCCCGCTGGCCGTGGGAAAGCCATCCCACTGTCACACCGCAGTGTCTTCTCCTACAGAACGGGACTATGGCAGTTCCGGTGTCACAGGGTGGTTGCGACGCCAAAGCAGGAGAATAGACGGACTTCGAGAAGAGCGGTGCCCAGCGCATGGCACACGCCGATTAGAACCACCTGCCCTCGGCATCACCAAAGGCCCTTCGCAAGAAGACTGCAAGCCAGCAACCATCTCCTCTGGAATTGCAGCAGTGACCAATGACAAATGACACCGCAACAGGAGAGAAACGCGTGTCTGCAGACCCCACAGTCAGGCGTTCTCAGCTGAGGTTGCCGTCACACAGAAGGTGCGTCTTTTCACCCCTGGGATCGTCAGTCCATGAGCTAGCACAACATTCAAAGAGACCCAGGCAAAACTACTTAAAATACAAATATCTTGTCCCTTTCCAACACACACCGAGGCCCGTGTAGCGACTCTGATAGGGCGGCATACCTCCCGTACGGTTGCAGGATGGGACCCCTCTTCCTTCCTGCATCCCCCCCTCTGCCTCAGACCACTCAGGAGGGTCCCCGGAGGCTCTGTGGAGACACTCACCCCCTCTCCACTGTCGCCTTGAGGCAAAGGGGCACATTCACATTCTCATGACTTCGTAGCTGAGAAAGCACCACACTGGTTACCTACCAAGTAACCTATGTGCACTGTGGGGACTACAGGTGTGTGGGTCGCGGGGGTCCCTGATCCTACAGGTGCCTGCAGAGGGGTGTGGAAACCTATGGCCTCCTAGCAACACAGGACCACCTGCTCCACAGGTGGCAAACACAAGGCCCCAGGGCCGAATCCTGACCTTCACCTTGTTTTATCAGCCAGCACCTTGTTTGTACCGACAGCAGTGCCGAGCTCTCGTTTTAACTGTTAAGGAGCAGTTACATGTATACGGTCCTAAAGTTACATTTGGCCCTTTGAAGGCAACTGCAAGGCTGATGTGACCCCTGGTGACAATGAGTGTGACACCCCTGGTCTACTGTTTAGGACCCGCTGTGCAGGGGGTAGGGGGTCCTTATCTCACTCCTCTGTTTCTTCCTCCCTCTGCTCTGAGTCTCAGGCTGGAGCAGGAGATCGCTCTGACCTGCAGAGAAACCTGCTCCAACAAGAAAAGGCAAGACCCACGGTGCGTGTGAAAGAGAGTGAAGTGACCGAGCCTCTGCGACCACGCTTATGATTTCAGTTTATGATTGTCTGTGGGCGGACATTCAGACAGGCTCCGAGTGACCGAGGCATGTGTCCTGTGGAAGAAAGGGACACTAATACATCAGGCACCACGGGCTACAAAATAGAATAGAAATACACCTTAAAACTAGTCATTTGGAGATGAAGTTCCCGCAACAGATCTCAGAAGCGGGACACCTGCGCAGGGATAACCGTGTGGGCACGGAGGTGTCTGCAGTGGCGGGCTCCTGCGGCTCCGGGCCGGCCCTCCCTCACCGAGCAGCTGGACCGTCCATCAGTCTGCATGGCAGGTTTGCTGATGTCGTCACTCGAGTTGGAGGGAGGCCGTAGAGAAAACCTAATGGACAATGGGAAAGGGCAGCCCTCCCAGGCATTCCTGTCTTTGTTCTTAGTGAAGGTCAGAAAGGCACTTCAAGGTCATTTTAGTCCAATGGCCCAGTGGCCTGTCCAAGGTGTTAGAAGCAAATTGTTCTAGATGCAGGGACGCTCCACCTTTCGGCTCTGCCGGTGGTGCCAGAAAGCGGAGCACTGAAAGCATTCGCTCGTGTCCAAAGTTCCAGCTGGGAATCCACCGAGGGACGGGGACTTCTCCACTGTGGCAGGAGCTCAGCGCAGTGGCTTGTCCCTTCTCTTCAAGTTTTCAGGTCCCTCTAGAAATAAAAACATAAGCACCCTTTTCAGCACATGTTAGGAGCGAGGGGGCACCTGCACTTTACCCCAAGTGAAGCATCCACTGTTCTCCACGATTAGTGGGGACAGAGTCGGCCTCGGCTGCAGGGGGCTGCCACCTTGGCGCAGACCCCAGCCTAGCATCCCCGGAGGAGTGTGCCACAGCTCACTCATTGCATGTACCACCCTGCCTGCCACCTTTCCCATGGTGTGCCCGAGTCCCAGCCTGGGTCGGAGCAATTCCGTTTGAAGCCCCAGTGAGACAGGGCAAACCAGTGGAGGAAATGAAGGTGACCTAGCAGGCAGTCCCATGAGCTAATAAGTGGGCAATTCCCCTTAAGAAGTGTGGGAGGAAAGTTTTACCCTCAGAACAGCGTGGATGAACACCTGGAGAACATCAGGCTAAGTGAAATAAGCCAGGCAGTGAGAGACAAACACCATAGCATCTCAGTCCTTTGTGGGATCTAATGAACGAACTGAACAAACAGCAAAATAGAGACAGACTCACAGATAGAGAGCAGGCTGATAGCTAAGGTCAGGGGGAAGGCTAAAGGGTGGAGGGACTGAGCAAAAATGAAAAAGAACTCATGGACGTGAGTGTGGTGATGGGGGTGGGGGAGGGGAGTATAAGGGGACTAAATGGTAACAGAAAAACAATAAAAAAACATGCAAGCTCTCTGGGGGCCCTGGCATCCACGTTCCGAAGGAACAGCTGGCCACGCCGACGCCTCGGGGAAACTCTCACGGGCAGGGAAGCCTCTCTGGGGACACGTGAAAAAGAGAAAGACCGGCAAAAGGAGGAGTCTCTCACTGGCCTTCCACGGGCCCAAGGCTGCAGTGATGCTCTTGGGTGTCAAGGGGGCCACACGCCTGTCAAGACAAAGCGGCTCCTCCAGTGTCCTGGGGAGTGGAAGCTCTTTCTACGCCCGAAGGGAAGCCACGTGGCTGGAAAGTGTGTTCGCAAAGTGCATCCTGAAGACCAGGTGCATCCGGGTCACCAGGGCCCTCACCCTATACCCCCGACCCCACCCTCTGGAGAAAGCTCCTGGGGTGGGGTTCAGTGTTCACAAACAACCTGGGACAGTCTTTGCACCCCCACATCGGAGAATGGCTGGTTCATCTGCGCAGCATGTGCTGGGGCTGGAGTCTGAAACAAGGGCCTCAAGTCTCTGGGGCCGTAAACAGTCCCCTCATCTGTCATAGGAGGACAGTCCTAGGACCTGCCACCCAGGATGATGCTGGGAGGAAACAGCATCACAGTCGGAAAGCTCCCCAGGAGGCGTGGGAAGCTCGCCGCACCCCCAGCCCCCTCCACAATGTGAAGACTGGGGGTTGGTTTCTGCCACTGGCACCCGTCTGAAGGTCACCTTTCATGATCAGTGGCCTGGCCACACGGCCCCCCGGCCCCCGAATGCAGCCCCAGGGAGGGCACGCCCACTCCTGCCTTCCTGCCCTCCACCCACCAAACCCACACCCCTGTCCGTGCCCCAGGGCCCCGCACTCAAGCCATCATCGAGGCCACTGCAGTGAGGAGCTACTCCTCCATCCATCTTCTCTGATACTTTGTTAGAGGCTGATGGGTTGTGGCAGAATTTTGTGCTAAAGAGCTTAGCACCAGGCCAGTCTGTGCATTAGCAACACAGCGAGCACCAGCAGAGGCTTCCCAGCGCCTGCGTTCCAGCATTTGCTGCCCCAGCCCCCACCTGCAGCCGCTCAGAGGCGGGAACTGTCTGCACCAGCAGGGGGCACCCAGCTGCAGTGGGCTGGACTGGAAACCACACTGAGTCCCAGGCCTGGGCCTCACCTGGTGCAAAGGGAACCATTAGAACCTCCTCATTTAAAGCAAAAATGCCCAAGAAAAACATGGAAATGGGCTCCTGAGGCGCATTAGGAGTCTGCTGTCGTTCCTGGCCCGTTTCAGGTGGAAAGGAGCCTTTGGGAAGGTCTTGGGTCCACACAACAGAAAGCAGGTTACGGGCGGCCAGAGGCTGAGGGTGTGGGCAGAGAGGGGACCGCTTCGTGAGGTTTCATGTCGGGGTGATGGCACATCCTGGAACCCGAGAGAGGCGGTGGCCACGGGCACTGAATGTGCTACATACCGCTGGAGTGTTCACTTAAAAATGATCGCTTCTTTGCTATGTAAATTTTGTCTCAATTTAAGAAAAAAATTTAAAATGTCCTTGAAATGTGTCCAAAGCATGATGTGGGGCTCGGAGTCTGAGATAAGCCAGCAAATATCTGCTGAGCACCTTGGAGGCAGAGGGCACCTCGCTGTGCTGGGCTCCCCTTCCGCCTGGCCGCGCCTCCCTGAAGCCTCCCCACCTGCTTCCCTGGGGCAGGCGTACCGCCTGTCCCCTGCAGTTGTCTGTGGCGCTCCCTCCCTTTCCCTGGGTAGCGAATTCTTCCTCCCCTCCATCTCCATGGTCCCCCGCCAGCCTCGCTGACCTGCGTCCCTGCTCCAGGTCCCCCCTCCAGGGAGGCCCTCCCAAAGCACGGAGCTGCCCAGGCTTCTCCCGGTCAGAGACTCTCCATTGCATCCCTGGCTCCTGGCAAGGTTCCCACCGCTCAGTGGGCATTGGCGGTCCTTCCCCCATCCCCGTCTGTCTCGAGTCTACCCTCTATTCCATGTGTGCACATGCCAGCTCTGCTTGTCCCCACCCCCAAGATCCTCTGGGCTGCCTCTCCTCCTTTCCCAGATCTGTGGAGACAGTCACCACTGGTGCCTACCCCGCCAGGGCCACACCTACACAGAGCCTGGCGTGGGCGCACCTGCTCACACCTGATACCCCAGAGCCACCAAATCCCTGCTCGATGAGTCATCCACTGACTGGTCCCTCCCTGGCTTCTCTACAGCAGGACCAGGGTCGCCAGAGGGGAACTGAGAGGGACCCCGTGAGCTGGGCCAGCACTGCCCCCACCTCCAACTGCTCGTGAATCCAGTCCAGGAAGGAGGTGATCCGGGTGTAGACCCCAGGCTTGTTCACGTCCGCACAGCCAATGCCAAAGCTGGTTGCTCCCACCAACTTCCACAGCCTCCTCTCCTGACACACCAGGGGTCCCCCACTGTCTCCCTAGACAGCAAGGAAAGAGACTGAGGCCAACAGAACAGGCACCACCCCTGCTGTCCCTTGTCCTCGTGCAGGATTCCCCTGTCACTACGTCGCAAAATCCAGCGTGGGGACGGCCCTGTGTTCACCCCCGCAGCCCTTCCTGAACTGACTCAGCATCCCTGACAGTGGGCCCTTTATCCCTCAGGATGGTCACCCCAGCTATCTCCCTGCCAGATTCCCCACGCACTGAACCCATGTAGGTCAGGGCAGCTGTGTGCAGCAAGGGGTCTCTCCACGGGAGGGTCTGTCTACCTGCCCAGGGGCTTCAACTGACCTCTGGACCCAGGCAGAATTGGGGTCTCACCCACTGTGGCTTTGCAGGCCCACGCTCATGGGTTCCCACCTGCTTTCTGCCTCTTCCATCCCCTGCAAACTCTGAGAACCGGGGTCAGGAGGAACGCATCCTCAAGACCCCCTCCTTCCCCCCGGGCACCCGGGCGTAGTGGGAGCACTGGGTAAACACGGGCTGGCCAGGAAAGGACGTGGTATCTTGAGCAAACTTTCTCCCCACACCCTGTAAATTTGCTTTTCAGTCAGCCACAGGGAAATGCTGGCAGTGATCTGTCCCACAGGCTGGGTCACCCTAACAGAGCCTCGCCTTGCCCACTGCCACAGCCCCTGGAGGTCACCATGGGTCCCCACCTGGCAGCTGTCCACACCGCCTTTCAGGTAGCCGGCGCAGACCATGGAGGGGGCGATGATGCCACCGTACACATCCTTGTGGTTGCAGATTTTGTTGGAGATCAGGGGCACAGCTGCGTGGTTGAGGACTGGGGAGGCGTCACCTGTGTCAGAAGGTGAGGGGGCATGCGGTGAGGACTTCAGAGGGCTGGGGCCACGCCCCTGACACTTCCATGGCAGACACAGCCACGCCTGCAAGTGGACCGTGAGGGGTCTGCCTTGAGTACCAGCCGCCCCTAGGGCTTTCTCCCTCCCGATGTCCCACGCAGTCCCTGCTGCTTCAGGTTGGAGTCCCCCTCTTCCCTAAGGGGACCAATGTGGGAAGCAGTGGGGGCAACTGTCACCACCATGGACCTCTCTGGGGCCCACCCTGAGTCAAATGCTTGATCACACCAGCCTGTTTGGCTCTCAGAGCAACCCAGGTCACAGAAGGGAAACTGAGCCCCAGGAAGGTCACCCACAGCTCTTGGAGGAACCTCGGGGTAGTCAGAGGGAAAACAGCCCCCCAAGCACCCACATTCCAATCCCCAGTACCTACGACTGTGTCACTTTACATGGCAAAAGGGACTTTGCAGATGTGCTAAGACCTGGAGGTAGGGACATGATCATGGGCTAGCCAGGTGGACCCTGAAGGTGATTACAAGGACCCTTGGAACTTTCAGAGGAGAATATGTGAGGACAGAAGCAAAGGTCAGAGAGGAGAGGGGTGGAAGATGCTGAGCCGCTGGCTGTGAAGACGGAGAAGGGGCAGAGCCCCCAGCAGAGCAGGCGGCCGCTAGAACCTGGCAAAGGCAGGGAACCGACTCCCCCCCAGAGCCTCCTGGCGCTGGCGCGCTGGCGAAGGCCTCCCCACGGAGGCCTAGAAACAGTTCTCCTTCATGCTTTATTTCTCTCCTATGAAAATCTGCGATTCCACAACCCAGGACAAATGGAACCGTGACTCATGACCCACAGTGACCAGCTGACCGAGTGGACTCAGAGCCCCCAGTAGGGACGCATGGGTGTCCCTCGGGGACATGACACTAGGCTGGGGGAGGGCACAGGTCGGTGTGGACGTCCACCCCGGCCCTCTCTGTTCCGAGCGCCCTGGACTCAGAATCCTGGTTCCGGACCACTGACCTCCTTCCTCAGTGGCCCCCCATCCCGACGTCCAGCACACTTTTCCATCAGGAAAGTTCTCTTCGGAGTTGGGCAGACACACTGGTTGGATCATCTCTGTGCAAAGAGGAAACAATGCTCAGATCCGGGAAGACGACCAGCCTCATCAGTGCTCACCTCCCTGGGGCGCTGGCGAATCCCGAAGAAAGGCCGAGCCCTGGGTCACTGGAAAGCTATCAGCTCAGAGCAGGGACCTCTCCCCCACCAGAGCCCTAAAACTTCAAAACCACCCTAGACTGTGGCTACCTCAGCGAGTCTGCACCAGGAGTCAGCATATCTTCTGGAACGGGCCACGTGCTGACTAGTTTAGGCTTTGCAGGCCAAGTGGTCTCCATGGCAACCACACAACTCTGCCACAGGAGCATAAAAGCAGCCACAGGCAGTGGTAAACAAGTGGGTCTGGTTGTGTTCTAATAAAACTTTATTTATAAAACAGGTAAAGGGCCAAATTTGGCCTATGAGCTGCAGTTTGCCCACTCCTGGTCCAGGCTGTGGTACAGAACACACCTCCATGAACATCCTTGTCCGTCCTGACAGCCCTGGAGGCAACAGGCTTGCCTGTCCTTGTGGGCTGTCCCATAAGCCCCCGCCACAATCAGCGTCATGGCTGCCACAGGACACTCACGGGACTCTCACCGGACACAGTCTGGCATGCGCTACACTTTTCTGGGTATGACAATAATGGAAGGCAGAGACCAAGGGGAGGGTCCATGTTAATTTAACACAGTCCAAATGTTGATGCCTCGTTTGGTATGATCAAACATCGTGCATAATAATTAGCCATGAGCATCGCCACTTCAATCCCTCTTTGTTTCTCGAGAAGCTTTGTCTCACGGTGCAGCATGCAGAGTGCCACGTGCAGAGTGCTGCATGCAGAGTTCGGTGTGCAGACTGCTGCGTGCAGAGTGCCGTGTGCAGAGTTCAGTGTGCAGACTGCTGCATGCAGAGTGCCGTGTGCAGAGTTTGGTGTGTAGAGTGCTGCATGCAGAGTTTGGTGTGCAGACTGCTGTGTGCAGAGTTCGGTGTGCAGAGTGCTGCATGCAGAGTGCTGTGTGCAGAGTGTTCACGCGGTAAGCCCGTGAAGGACCTCCCCTCGGGTCAAACCTGCCCCTGGTCTTGTGCTAGGACTCCACTCCAATCCGGGGCCTGGGCACCACACTCTGCCTGCACTCAGAGCTGTCGTAACCCTTGGGAAGGAGAGGGAGGCTACAGTTGATTTGGGAGTAGGCTCATAATGCTTTGTTTGCAGGTGCAGAAGGTTTGACAGTTCTGTCCCATGTGGCTTTTTGTGACCTCCAGAGGTCAGGTCTTGATATCTCCCTTGTCAAGAGAAACAGGGCCTGCTGAATTGGGAAAGCATGTTCCTGAGTATTCTGAATACTGCGTATACTGAATACTGAGCTGAAGATGCCCAGGATCCACCAGATCTTAAAGAAATGGCTGCAGGAAGGATCGCACTGCAACCAGCTGGCTGGCCTGGGAAGCACTCACTGTATCAGCCAAGTTTGAAATGCTGGGCCAGTGAGTGGCACTGGCAGGGGACCTCACCACAAAGCTCTTTGTGCCCACAGGCCAGAGACGCCCTTTCTCCACCTAGAGGCACACCAGGTGGCCTGCCCTGGGCATGTCCCTTTTATCTCCAGGCAGCACCCCCAGGGAGAAAGTGGCACCAGTGGGAGCCCCAGAGGGACCAGACAAACCAAACTGACCAAAACAGAGCCTCCAAGTCTCTAAAACCAAATTATCATCAAGACCTGCACAGTGACCCTGAGCAGGGCCACCACCTGCTAAGCTTGAGGATGTACGCAGGACCAGTGCCTCTCAACAGGCTCGCCCAAACATCCAAATACGATGGAGGGCTTCACGTCATGCCGAGAACCAGGAGAACCCCCACTTTCACGAGAAGAGAATCGGCTGAGGCCAAGACTGACATGAGTCAGATGTTGGATTGCCAGACACCTGGAAAGCGCTATCATCACAATGCTTCCACAAGCAGCCACAAATTCTCTAGAAACAAATGAAAGCAACAGAACAACAAAGAAACCCAGGTGTACCATTGAAGGCAAGCGGCTCCGCCAGCTTCATGAGGGCGATGTCGTTGCCCAACCTCTTCGGCTTGTACTTGCTGTGATAGATAATTTTTTCTACCAGGTGGGAGGGGGCTGGGCTGTCCAGCAGGGAAACGAGGCCCACCTGGATGGTCCATGACTTGGGGAGGTACAGGCTGCAATGGGAAGACTGAGAGGTAACGCAGGAAAAACCCAGCCTGGACCTCCGGTGTCCCCCATCCAGCACCAGGGAGGTGGCCAAAGTGTCACGGTCCTGCTTGCCTACGTCCGAATCTACATCAGCCCTGCTGCCTGGCAGAAGCACAAACCCACCCCACACGTTTCCTACAGCGGCTGCCCCCCCCCCCTGCAGCTCTGAGGGAGGTAAAAATGACAGGGAGTAAAAATAACTGAGTATTTTCTTCTATGCTAACGTCCCCCAAAAAAGAGACTGCCCGGGGGCAACTCTGTCCCCCCCCCACCCTGCAGAGTCTCCCACCTTCCTGGCACAGCCTGTCCCACCACAGGCAGCTACAGGTGGTGGGTGTAAGACCTCTACGTTGCTGGGTTTCCTCCTCTCTTCCTACCTTTTCTCTAACAGCCGCTGTCTAAGATCTACACAGCCGACAGTGATGGGTGGCTCCTGGTGAGGAGGGAGGGTCCCCCCACACAAATATGACTGTGATGATGGGCTCTGTTTCCTGCTCTCTGGACCTGCTGCTGACCACTCACATCCCCCACCCCCATCCCAAGGGGCCCGGGCTGGACGGGTCTATGGGAGGCGAGGAGCACCGCCAGGAGTCGGGAGCACTCACTCATAGACACAGTGGGCGGCGGTGACGATCCACACCGGGGTGATGACTGAGCCTCCACACAAATGGTAGCCCTGGAACTGGAGGCTGGCCTGCCAGGGCCACTGCGCGAGTGAAGACATGTTTCCACCCACGATGCGAGAGCTGTAGCCCATCCTCAGACCACAGACTGCCGGGGAAACAGGGTTAGGGGTCCATCCCACAGAGCTTTCCTGCACCCTGACATCCTGCCACCCACACAGAGCTCCCAGCCCGGAAAAAGAGCTTGGAGGGGGAGCACCGGGTGGGGGGGGGGCAGCTCACCTGAGATGTGGGACAGGGGTGTCTTGTGGGGGTTCGGTGGGCAAATAGCCTGACGCTGGCAGTGCCCCTCCCCCAGATGCCCATGAGCCGGGATGACAACAGCGCCCAGGAGTACGGGGCGCCTCCCGCAGACCCTCCTCACAGGTGCTGGTGTGTAGCTGCCTGACTCCTCCAGACCCCACCCCCGCAGTGTGCCCGCTCCCCCCACCCCCACTCCCCCCACCCCCTGCCTGCCTGCCCCGGGGGTGGAGTCTGGGTCACTGAGCAGCCTGTCACAGCTTTCCCCTGAGGAGCAGGGCAAAGAAAAAGTCAGGCCCCCAGGGCCACTGCAGTGATAGGACATGACACTCCACGGTCAAGTCTCCTGCTGAGAAGCCACTCTGGGCCACCTCCCCCATCTAACGGAGCTCACCCTCCTCTGAGAGAGAGCCCACTGGAGCCTAGAAGGATGGGACTCCGGGCAGCCAGAGGGGGGGTGCAGGACTCTGGAGCGAGCTCTTGCTCCCATTGGCCCCTGTGCTTCTAAAACTCTTACCTGTGCACTTCAGGGTGACCACACGACCCGAAGCGCATTCTTCCCTAAAGTGAAAAAAAGTGAGTTCATGATAAACACCCAAGGCCTGTGAAGCGGATGTTGTTTAACTTAATCTTGGATTAAAAGAAAAATGAACTCTATTCCCTTGCCCTGGAATAGAGATTACAGTTTTAGTCTAAGTCACAGAATGTTTTTTGTTTTTTTTTTAACCACTCGACGACGGTGCGGTCCCGTGTCAGGGACAGGCACGGAGCATTTCTCGACTTTGCAGAGCAGATGATCAGAGACGCGTTACAAGCCTGTCACGTGCACTGGGGCATTTGTGTATCTGTTTTACCCCGTGCTCTTCACTGGCCCCGGAGACTGGAGTGCCCTCTGGGCGGAGGCAGGTTCTCCTGGCACGAAGTCCTTGCAACCTGGGACACGCACCCGGGAGAGGACACCTCCCAGAGCGGAGGACACCACCCAGAGGTGACTGTGCTGGAAATGACAGGCATTTCCCTGCGTGGGTGGGAGCCGGGCCCCTGTGTTTCTCCTAAGCCACCCGGGTCCCTCTGTGACTTTTCCTGCTCTCAGAGCCCCAGGCCTGTCACGAGACAAGCTGTCCTTGTGGAATGCACGTGTGTCCAAGGGTGGCTGTCCGTGACGAGATGGACCAGCTGATGAACTGTGGTCTCCCGGAGCCTGGAACACACTCCTCTTGGGGTTCGGTCAAGGTGCCAGAAAGTGGGTGGATCCGGGAAGCTGGGTCCAGCGCACCTGGTGTCTCCACTCACCAGGCAGGGGAGCCCTCCGAGCTTCCGGTACCCCGAGTGTCATTCGAGGACACTCGTCTTACCTCCCTCATGAGTGTTGGGGAAAACATGACAGGGTCTCGTGAACAAAGACAGGTATGTTTCTTTCTAAATCTCTCTTCCTGGTTTTTCCCTCCCTCCCTCCCTCCCTCCTTCCTTCCGAACACTTTGCAGCGCCTGCCTTTTGAGGTGCAGTGCTGGCTTATGACACGCCCCCACTGTCACTCCCTTAGCCCTCTCCTCCCTTCCTCTGTCGGCCCCATTGGCTGGCTCGGGGCCAGGCTCCTCCCTTGACCAGCCGGTGCCCCGCCCAGTATGGCCATGTGGACACGCCCCCCTGGCTCACAGCCCTACAAACGCGGCCGCGCTGGGATGGCGTGCAGGCCGCCTGGCGCCTACCTCAGGTACACCGACTGGTGCAGAGCGGTCACTTTGTCGTCTGGCAAGAGGTGGTTGACAGAGACAAAGTCCTCTTGGAACTGCTCCTCCAGCATGGTCACTCTGAGGGTGTCTGAACTGACGTAGCTGCGAGCACAGGGAAACCCAGGTGTGGCGTGAAATTCACTCTCTGTTTCAGATCAGCCTGTGCCCCGGTCACAGCTTTACAGGATCCTCCTGAGGGACACGCCCCTGTGTCCCCCCAAACCACCAGTGTGCCCAAGTCACCCTATTACTGGTGTGCCGGGGGGGATGTCACTGCGCTCCTCAAAACCATCAATGGTTTCCTCTTGCCAACGTGTGGAGACACTCCAAACCTGATGGAGTCTGGAGTGGTGGACTCCTCAGCCCCTACCCCATGGCTCCACCCATGAGCACAGGCTCTGGGCCCCTGGGACCACTCCTGCTGGAGTGGGACACAGCAGAGCAGTGGCGGTCAAGGGCAGGCTCCAAAGAAAGAGGAGAAAGAACCAAAAGAGAACACAGAAGCCAGTCCCAGAACTGAAGCAACAGTCAAGGAAGAAGGGGACAAGCTGACAGTGAAGAAACTGGGCGATGCTGAGGGACAACTCCCTCCAGAGGACAGTTCAGTGCAGGGGGGACTGTCCCACCAGGCGGCTGGGGTGGACAGAGACCCGAGAGCTGCCCAGGAAGAGCGAGCAGGTGGAGAAGGAAGGGGTGACTGAGTCCTTGTGCGGAGCAGAACAGAGGCCTGGGGACTGGGGATGGGGGTCAGGCCCCAAGAGGGAGAGGAGGGGCGACAAGGTGGAGGACGCCCTCTGGCGGGCCCGAAAAAGGGCCTCCACGGGGAACGCACACCCTGTTTGCGGTGGTGGGGTGGAGTGTGTGTGAGCACACAGGTGTCTGCGGTGCACACGCTGGGGTCAGCGAGTGAATGTTTGTGTGTGACGTGTGTGCACAAAAGTGTGTGTGATGTGTGTATAGTGCCTACAGTGTCATGTTTGTGGCATGTGAGTATGTGTGTGGGGTGTGCCTCTGTATGTACAAGTGTGTAATGTGTGATTGTGCATGACCTGTGTGTAGCGTGTGCGGCTTGTGTCCGTGTTTGTCTGTGAAGAGGAGGGTCTACAGGCACTTGAGTGGTGATGTGTGCTGCTGTCGCTGAGCTGAACTGCAGCTGATTTCTGAGTCACCAGGGGAGATGGAGGCGGATCTCGGGGGTGCAGGCGGGGGTCCTTGGGGGTTTCACTGGCTTCAGAGAAAGGAGCGCAGAACACGACCCATCAGATTTGAAGCTGGGGGCTCCTGGGGGACTCAGGGCAGTGAGGGTGCTGCCGCCCAACTCGTTTCCTTAGAAACAAACAGGAATGGTTTTCATGTTCCCCCTCGTCACTGTGCTCACTTCCTGGGAGGCAGTGAGCCTCCCTGTTCTGAACCCAGAATCAAGAGCGAAGAGGGAAGGGAGACAGCCCAGGGTTTCCTGGAAGACGGCGGCTGCCGTGAACCAAAGGAAGGGGCAGGAGAGAGAGGGGGCCCCGCATCACGGGGAAAGCGGGTTGTCTCCATGCACAAAGCCCCACGGCCGAGAGAGAACAGTGCCATTCGAAGATTCCACTCCAACAGTTCTTTCTCCCATGTGTCGTGAAACTACCATGTTCGAATAATGGTGTTTTCACCAAGTTGCTGACTGCTTGCACCTGGTTCTCTGGGGCTCCTCGGGGAGTGTGTGCTCGGATGAGGACGTGACGCCCAGGACCAAGAGGGGCGGTGTCAGGCGGTGACTGCGGCTGTGGCCTGAGGCACTCGGGGGCTCATCCTCATGAAGGATTTTCCTCTCAGAAGCTCTTTTACCTCATGCTTGCCTCTACGTCTGTCCTCAGACACAGCCCAAAATGCCACTTCTTTGTGACCTTAAAGTGCGGGTGATGTCCAGCCTCATGGAGTTGCCATGAGGGTGCAGCGTGACTGGAGATAAAGCACCCTGTGAGCACCCAACTGAACAGCGGCTGTCTTTCTTCACCATGGTCACTAGAGATGTTTACCCATTGCCTGCAGTGCCCTTCAGATTACCTTGGAAACCCCAGCTGGGCACAGGCGACGGTAGCGTGGTGACTCTTCCAGTCGTCAGAGCACACGGTCCTCCAGGTAGCCTCCGTGAACACCTGGAGCACGCCGTTCTGACCGCTCACGCGGACTGGCCGACGCACGGGCATGACCATGTGTGAGCAGCCAGCAGAGCCCTGAGGCCGGGCAGAGGTTCCTCTGCAGCCAGCTCAGACCCTCCTCTGCCCAACCGGGCCTGCTCCTTGCCCACAGCATCCCACCCTCACAGGGCCCACTGACTGCCGGGGACCCCCAAGCTCTCTCGGAGACCTTGTATTGCTCAGGGAGTCTCCCAGACCGAATCTCAGCTTCATGGAATGCCCTTCCCTTAGCACCCAGCCCAGGGTCTCCTGGGGGCTGGTTGGATCACAGTCAAGGGCATGACTTGACTCTGGCATTGACTTGGACCCATTTCCCAGATTGGAAAGGCCAGGGCTGGGTGGTGCTGACCCCTGCAGTCCGCAGTGGAGAGGCACGACCTTACCACATCGGTACTCGTCCTCCCCGGCCTTGCAGTCTGAGACACCATCACATCGAGCCGTCAGTTCAATGCACTTGAAAGACGACCGGCATCTGTACTTCCCAGAGCAGTCGAAGTGGACTGAGGACAGGCGAGGACAGCGGCATGAACAAAGGGTCCCTGCAGTGCTCAACACTGACAACTATCCACTGGCCCCATGGCCTTGAGCCTGCCCTTTAGAAACAAGGCCGCCCTGAAACTGCACCTGTGTCAGCAGCCCAGCGTCTGTTCCAAACTCCAGGGGGTGGAGCTGCTGCCCCCGCACCCCCCACTGTCTCACTAGGTGGCCTTGAGACACAACCAGAGGTGAATTTAGACCTTGCAGGGGTCCAGGTCAAGAGAGAAAGTGGGTGGCTGCAGACCGGCTGGCTGGCTGAATCCTCGAGTGAGGATTCGAATCCCCAGTTCGTCAGCCTCCTGCTGTCGCTGACTCAGAGCAGCAAGTGAAGGGACTGCAGGCGCACACCCGGGCAGGTAGAGAATTACACCGATCTGCATTCCAGTTATTTGAAAGAGAAAATGAGAAATTGTTCTCTAATAGAGACCATTCAAATGACTCACTTTCTCAAAAGCCACAGGCACCTGCTTTTAAAAATAGCAGGCGTTCTTGGCCCGGCCTGAATGGCCTCCTTGTCTTCTGCCCCCAGCCCTGCCCCACCCCGGCCTGCGGGTTCTATTTCATCAGCTGCTTTTGGAGGCTTCGAACTGGGCAGGTTCCGTGGTGACGAAGCCCGGAGCATGGCCAACAGCCCCTGTCGGGCCTCAGGTCGGCTTTACATTCACACAGGCAAATAAAACTCAAAGCCAGCAAAACCGAATGCTGTTTGCCTCCAGTAATGAAGGCCAGGTGGCCACATAAGGGCCAGGGAGCTCATGAAAGTTTAAGAGCCTGAAGAGGTAGCCGAGTGCCTGCTAAATAATGAATCGAACTCACCGCCCAGACCCACGGCCAGAGCTACTATCAATGCGATGACCCCAAGGACGATGATTGGGAAGAACTTCAAGGGCAGCAGGGACAGGATCTGTGCGGCTACAGCATCCGCATCTGAAAGCCAAAGAAGAAGTGGGAGGAGCCAAAAGCCACAGAGCAACGCGTTTGAATAAAGAAACTTAAAGAGTAGCTATTCATTCTCCCTCTCTCTCATGAAGAGGATGTTTCTGCTCAAAGACGGCAGCTTCGTGTGGTGAAAAGGGCACCAACCAGGGGCACGTTCTCTAGAAGCCCAGCCCCACGCCCTCCAGCTCTGACCCAATTCTGTTCGCCCTGGGCTGAGGGATGGTGTTATAGGTCGAACTGCAGGTCTTCAAAAAGATATGTTGACGTTCTAACCCCTAGCACCCCAGACTGTCATCTTACTTGGAAATAGTCTTTAGAGAGGTAATCAACTTCAAATGACATCATCAGTATGGGGGTCTAACCTGTCTGGTGTCCTTGCAAAAAGACCTTTGAACACAGAGGCTGATGCACACACACACACACACACACACACACACACAGAGTGATGTGAAGAGACACAGGGAGAGGCCATGTGAAGGTCAAGGCAGAAATTAGGGTGATGAGTCCCCCAGCCAGGGAACACCAAAGATTGCCAGCAAAGCACTGGGAACCAGGAAGGGGCGAGAAGGGTTCCCCTGCAGGCTCCAGAGGGGGCGGGGCCTGTCAGCGCCTTGGTTTCAGGTTCCTGGCCATCAGAATGGTGAGACAATATTTCTGTTGTTTTAAGCCACCCAGTTTGTGGTTCTTTGTTTCGGTGGCCCCAGGAAACCAAAACAAAGGGAAAGTGGGACGCCAGCTTTCAAGGTCATTTTCTCACAGAGGAGGGTGACGTGTAAAATGCATACTTTCAGGAGAGGGAGAGCTGGGCCCCCTGAGAGAATCGCCAGATGACGTAGCAGGCCATTCTCTATAGGTCTTTTGCACAGAGGCACCGATGGCCTTGAGTCCAGAACACCTTTCCAAGGACACTGGCAAAGCCTAAGAAGATGGAGACAGAGCCAAGTCTGTGCAGGTCGGCCTGTGTCCCTTACAGAGGTTCAGGTTCCCTTCACTGTGGGTTTTTCAGCAGAAATGCAGACCCACCGGTGTGCAACGTGTACCTGGGCTGCTCCACATCGCCCCCGTGGGGCAAGGTGGGCAAGAGCAGCAACTCAAACAGGATGCATGTGCCACCTGTGCCGTGAGTAATAAAGTCCTTTGTGTCTGACCCAGGAGTCTCGTGTCTTCTGCCAGCATCCATGGAACCGTGATAGGCTGGCTTGTTAGCTTGCACCAGACCCTCCCCAGTTCTTGCCTAAAGCACCAGGAAGTTGGGGGGGAAAGAAGATGTGAGGAACATTAAGATACCCAGAAGTACAAGTCTCTCTGTGCAACCAGGAGAGGTTTCACTAGTACCCTTTACTCTCCAAAGAACAGGCCATTTCATGCAAATGATCTCATCAATCCTGAAAATACATCCATGCCCAAGTTGTCTTCCCTGAAACTGGGAAGATTGGAATGGAGGAAGGGCAGAAAGCCTTCCAAGGGTCACACCACTGCTAGGGACAAAGACTGCCTCTGCCCCTCTTCTCTTGGTCTTGGAGACATTGAGACAAGAGGTCTCCCATGGAAGAATCAAAGGGATCTCACCCTGCCTGTCTCTACACACAGCTTCTCCTTCTGGCAATAGTGTGATTATAAAATGGTCACTATCATTCCAGGCCGCCTTAAAAAGAAGAGAATTTAAATACAAATATATCGGAGGAAGAGGTGGATTAGGAGGGAAAGGAGGAAAAAGTAAGCAAAAGAAAAGGTAAGGGGGAAAAGGGAAGACGCCAAGAGAAATAAGGTAACACGTGCAACATATAGTCTTCAGTTACCATGAGGGATACAGAGCAAGAAAGGAGAACAGACAGACAGAGAGACGGACAGTAGGCTCTTTGCTTTGGCCTGGATGCTCAAGGGGTTTGTTCAAGGTCGTGTTCTCAGCACCTAGAACAGCACCTGGCACCTGGTGGTTCTGGGTAAATACTGGTAAATTGAATGGATGGATGGATAAATGAATGGATGAATGGATGGACAGATGAGATCGTGATAACGAAGGTTGTTTATCTCAGGGTCAGAGACCAATTCCTCTCAAGGTATCAAGTGCATAGCCTTGAGTTGGTAGAGCGGATGCCTCCTGTTCACCCTCCCCCACCCCCCAGAAATGTCTCCCATGGAGATGTGTTCTCTCCATTTACAATGTAAAAATCAGCAGAAACCCCAAGAATGACCTCATATCATCCCAGTTATTCTCTAAGAGTTAAATTAGGAAACAACCCGTATTGTAGAGTCAAAGATTGTTGCTCAGTTAGAACCTCTGCATCGGTTCACGTTGGCCACTTCGCCACTCCACCCTGGTGCCCTTTGGGCGCTGCCATGGCCCCACCCCCCTTACTCTGTCTTTGAGGGTGGTCTTAGAATAAAAAGCAAGATGCATAGCATCCCTCCAAAGAGGAATGCAAATGATAAACAAGCATAAAGAAAAAGCCCTTCAGCCTCTCTGGAGATGAAAAAGACACAACACAAGTTAGACACAACTCCCTATCAACTCCCCAACACAGTGTTGCACTTGTTGCTGTTTATTGTTGTTATGATCACTACCACCCAAGGTGAGAGGAGATGGTCCTCCACTTACAGTCAACAGGAGTTTGCATTGTGGGAACTTTTGATGGTCAATTTTGATACATGCACCAAAAGCTTAAAACTGGATGGAATTTTTGACCTAGCAAATCCACTTCTAGGAATTTATCCTATGATGTCACCATAGGTACACACAGATGCCTGCCTATAAGGACACTTAGGGGAGTGGCATTGATAATATCTACACATGGAAAACAGCCTCTACGACCAAGGGAAGAACCTGGTGAAATACCGAATGGGATGGACGCCAAGTGGTAGAGAAGGGCGGTCAGCAAGCTTTTTCTGCAAAGGACCAGATAGTAAATATTGTAAGCTTTATGGGCCATATGGCCTCTGTCGCAACCACTCAACTCTACTACGGCGTGAAGGCAGGTGTGGACAATGTGTGAGTACATCGATGTGTTCCCATAAAACTGTAGTGGTAGAAATAGGCAGAAGGCCACATTTGGCCCATGGGCCATAGTTTGCCAAACCCCGAAGAATATTTAAGTATTAAATGCCATGGAAAAATTAACACAATACTGTTAAGTTTTTTAAAAAGCTTCAAAATGATACAAATAGTATACGTCACTTCCAAAGGGAAATAAAGATATTGGTAGGAAAAAGGCAAGAAATCCCACATAAAGTGCTAATAGAGTTAGCCCTGAGTAACAGTAAAACTATGGGTAATTAAAAAAACTTTTTGATTAACTATATTTTCCCAAATTTCTATAATGAACAATACATTGCTTTATTTAAAAAGAAAAGTTTTAAACACCTTTTGTTTCTTCCCTCACCAGGAACTAATCATGAAAAATAATAAAAATTAGCATAGAGAAAAATGTATAATGCTATTCATGTTCAGATGATATTATAAAAATACTAGAAACAATCATACATCAGATGATGATAAAATGGTTACATAAGTTACACACATACTTGTGGAATAATGCCATCTTTAAAAAGACGTTTGTGAAAGCCAGGCAGCACATGGAAGATGCCTGCTTCCCAGCACCAAGGATGGATGCATATTTATAGGCAACGATGGGAAGAAAATGAACGCAGATATAAAAACGAGGTAAAATCTGGGAGTCAGGGGATTGCAGAGTACTTTTAAAATGCACATTTGTGTTAATTTTGGAGGAGTATTTTTAAATTGTGTATCTTTCATAGAAATATCTCCTCCCATCTGCCATCTTCTCCTCTCCCCCAACCACCATCAATCGTGGTTTAAAAGGAATCATTGGGGTTACCCCCTATCATGCTTTCTAAAACCTCAGCCAGAGCCCCCAGGCCTCCCTTCCCAGCCCCAGGGGCCAGCAATCCTGACTGCGTCCAGGAGCAGCGAGCCCCGATCACTGTGACCAGCCCTCGTGGGCTCTTACCCAAAAGACCCCGGCCGCATAGGCATTATGGAGTCCCCTGTCTCTCCAAATATTTGTAACCTGTTTACAAAACCAACTCTGTCGCACAGCTGTTGGATTTGAATCTAGGCATCAGATCCTTCAGGGAAGTCCAGCTTATTTTAAGTTTCCTGGAAGGGCTGGTGAGCAGCATGTTCCCAGGACTTCCTGGGGGGCTCAGAGAGTCTGGCCGGCCCCTGACCCTCAACCCCCAGGGCCAGCGGGAGCCTCCATTTCTGAAAATCTCCATCCAGAGAATACAAACCCCTGTGTGCACAAAGTCAACGAGGGGCTGGACAACCCTCCCCCCTCTGATGCCCCTTCTTTCCCATAGTCTATAAGCCAAAGAATCACACGTGTTCAACATGTGAGGTGTAAGGACGCCTAGTGAGATATTTCCTCAGTGGGAGACTCGGCCCTCAGCCACGTTCGTCATCTAGATGGGGGTCGGGGTGCAGACAACACCTGCTTCCACCTACCTGGTGTGACGGGACTTATTTTCAGGTCGTCAAGGCCAAAAAGGGATCTGAAGGAGAAGGGGGCTTCGGCCGCAGGCGGGTCATTCTCCCCCATGGTGACTATTTCAGGGCCTCTGAGGTTGGGCTCCGCCTCCACCTCCACCTCCTTGGCCGGGAAGAACAGAAAGAGTTTGCCTCCCTGTTTACAGTTTCAGCATCAAATACATCTTTGTTGTGTTAAATCTTTGAAATCTGACAATCCACACGAAGGAACTCAGCACCATTTAATCAAAACTATTTGTCTGGTGAGACGCATTTTTCTCCCCAAGCCATAGCAGATAACAGAGAAACTTCTAGAGTTAGCGAAAAACAGCGAACTTAATTCTGCTAAAACAAGAACTTTCCCAACATTCATTCCACCCGTCTTAAAATCAACCCAGCACACATCTTTAGAGATAATGCCCTTTTGCCTGTTAGAAGTCCCCAAACCCCGATTTTACAGCAGATGAATGACTTTCAAAGCACACTCCCTCCCTTTCCTGCCATTGCCATTTGTCTCACATCAACTCAACCCTTTGCCTGTGTCTGTGATACACCCACCCTCAACGTACAAGGTTCTGATACTCACATAATGTCTGCACCCCTCCAATGTCAACAGCACCAGAGAAGGGACACTCGCCCACAGTATTTGTAGCTTTCCTGGCTCCCACAGCCATGACCTAATTAAGGATGAAAGTATCCGGGCCCTTGGGGTGCCCGGTCCCCGCCCCAACTCACAGCAAAGGGAGGAGTGGCCGGCGGCTGCAGGAGGCACCAGAGCGACACTGGGGCTCTGTGTCCTCCAGAATCCTCCAGGCCCCAGGGGCCAGAGCCTTTGGAAGGCATTCCCAGCAGCTCTAAGAGGGGCGGAGGGAGCGAGGGGGTGGCCAAGTGTCCTGGCAGCTTCACGGGTCACGCTCCAGGGCAGCAGGTGTGACGTGGCCAGGAGCCCGCTTCCTCAAGGCACTAAAATCCGGCGGCTCCAACAGGCCCAGAAACGTAGACACGTGGAGCTCCCCTTTTATTTTCTTTTTGCTTCCCTGTTGTAATGTTTGAAACTGAAAAGGGAGCTACCAGGCCATTTAAGACAAACTTTGTCTTCATGCTGCTTCACGTGGTCACGGGAAAATCTAAGCAAGAGTTGGACGCTAAAACTGGTGATTTCATTCCCATCCTAGGAGCAGCTTTGGAGAGTATCTTAGAAAGCTACTCAGTTCACACTCAGCGTTTTTGACTTTGATTCTTGCCAATACTGGCTGACGGACTATCAGCAAGAAGCAAATTAGACAGCTTAACTTTATAACTAGAGTACGACGAAAGACAAAACGCTTCCTGAATCGTGGAACCTGGGGGAGGAAGTCCCTCCCCAAATAGGCCTTAGCCGGCCGGTTTCACACACTGAGAAATGTGGAAGAGTCATCGCTTCGTAGAACCTTCTCTCATCACATCTACTCACCATTTCCGGAGCCGCCATCATCAAAAGCAGAGATAATTTCCTTTTTCATTATAAAAGCAAGCGGGATGGTGAGCAGGCTGCCAACGGTTCAGTCCAATCGGGAAATATTTCCACCAAGTCACTCAGCCTTGTCGACTCGGTCATCACAGCAAATGGCAAGATCGCGGGCGACTGTGTAACCCAAGCTGCCTGTGGTATCAGGTAGCCGTAGGGGGTAGGACCGAGGGGGCCGGGGAGGGGAAAATGTGGCTTCCCTTTAATTAGTAAGTAAGGCGAGCAAACCTTTGCAGAAACTTCACAGAAGAGAGTCTTGGGAACACAGGCACTGCTCTTATTTGAAAGAACAGGCCGGCCCTGCCCAGCAAGCACACGGAGAGGACAGGGAGAACGCCCCACTGGGGGGTTTCTGTCCCCACCCCCACCATGCGACTGAGCCCAGTGCAGACCCGCAGCTACTTTGAAGACAAAAGCTGGGAAGCCGATTTGCCCTCGCAGCCAGCACCCCGCAGAGACACTGCTTGCGCGTTCTTCAGGGGCCTCTGTGTCCCGAGGGTGTTTCCTCGTACAATGTGGCTTAAAGATGTTTGATCGGGAGAGAAACAGCCCTGCCGTTGGGGGCCAGGGCACCGAGAAGAGCCCCTGTGGAAGGCGGGTGGTTGTGAACCAGGCTCTCATTTACTCAGCGAACGTTCCCGGGCCAGCTGCCACGAGGCGGACTCAAGGCAGGTGGCAAGGTGATCAGAGCGTTTACCTGTGGTCTCTGCTGGTGACAAACACTAACAGGGGATGACAAACACCGAGGCTGGGAGAGGCTAGTGAGGAATGGGACAGGGTGGAGGAGGCAGCCCTCCAGACAAAGCGACGTTTCCTGCAAGGCCTCGGCGATGGGCTGCAGCGGGCCCGGTAAGCTAAGAGGGCAGCGTGTTCCAAGCACAGGACCATCAACACTGAAGACCCTGAGAAGATGGCTGGGGCGAGAAAGACCCTGTGCCTGGAGAGGCCGATGGGCAAGCCATGGAGGGCCCGGGCCCCTGGAAGGAAGGGGTCTGATGGACTTCTGTGCTGTGGAAAGCCACGGAGCAGCGGAGCAGGGCGAAGTCCACATTTGCGCATGTGCAGTGAGTGCAGGAGCCAGGGGTCGGGGCCAGGGGATGAGCACAGGGAGAGTCCGGAGGAGGCTGCAGAAAACCTCCGCCACCTTGGCTGTGACTTGGCCAGAGGTGCTAGTGGTGCAGATGAAGATGAAGGCTGGATCTGGGATTGTTTCCAAGGCAGAGTAGGTGGAATTTGCCCGTGGCAACAACAACCAGAAAGGCAGAGTCAGCCAATCATGGTTTAAATTCAGCCTCATTTTTTCAGCCTCCAGCACCTGCCCAGGCACCTGTCCCCGTCTCTTGGATTTAATACAGGTCATCCTTCAACTCATGACCCTTCTTCACCTCTTCCCTAACTACTCTCTGTTCCCTGAACGAACGTTTGCCTCAAAGACAGGGACAGGAAACCTAGAACCGTGACTTCCGTTGCTTTCATCTGAGCCGGAGGTGCTCTCCCGGTGCCTGCCACTGCAAGGAGTGTGAGCAGGGGCTCCGTGTCCCCCGCTAGGTGGTCCTAAACCAAGGGGGGCTAACAATACTTTGTAACACGCAGAAGACCAAAAGCCGTCGCGGGGTCATATGAACATGTGTCAACATTTGTTACCATGTTGGGATGAGTGTCAAGTGAGGTCAAGGAGGGAGCTAGTTTAGCAACAGGAAGCAGGGAGGGGACCCATGAGGGTGCCACCTCCATAAAGGAGCCCCTTGAGTGGTCACCTACAAATCCATTCCACCGAGCTCATCTGATTTTTCTGTGATTTTCCTAGTGTCCCCACTGTGAGTCCCCATCTCAGGAGCCCTCTCAGTCTCAGGTACAGGAGCACAGTTGGTCACCCTACGGATCAGAATTATTTTGGCCCCTCATAAAAGAGTTAGGAAGTATTTCCCAATTCGTTTTCCCCCCTCCTGACCACATTCCTCCCCTTTAGTTCATGTCCATGGGTCATACATATAAGTTCTTTGGCTTCTACATTCCCTATACTACTCTTAACCTCCCCTGTCTGTTTTCTACCTACCATTTATGCTAATTCTCTGTACCTTTTCCCCCTCTCCCTCCCACTCCCCTACTGATAACCCTCCATGTGATCTCATTTCTGTGTTTCTGTTCCTATTCTAGTTGTTCGCTTAGTCTGGTTTTGTTTTTGTTTTAGGCGTGGTGGTTAATAATTGTGAGTTTGATGTCATTTTAGTAAACAGGTTTTTTATCTTCTTTTTCTTAGATAAGTCCCTTTAACATTTCATATAATAAGGGCTTGATGATGATGAACTCCTTGAACTTGACCTCATCTGAGAAGCACTTTATCTGTCCTTCCATTCTAAATGAAAGCTTTGCTGGATAGAGTCATCTTGGATGTAGGTCCTTGCCTTTCATGACTTGGAATATTTCTTTCTATCCCCTTCTTGCCTGCAAGGTCTCTTTTGAGAAATCAGCTGACAGTCTTATGGGAACTCCTTTGTAGGTAACTATCTCCTTTACATCTTGGGTAATGTAATTATGATGTGCCTTGGTGTGTTCCTCCTTGGGTCCAACTTATTTGGGACTCTCTGAGCTTCCTGGACTTCCTGAAAGTCTATTTCCTTGGCCAGACTGGGGAAGTTCTCCTTCATTATTTGTTCAAATAAGTTTTCAATTTCTTGCTCTTCCTCTTCTCCTTCTGGTACCCCTATAATTCAGATGTTAGAATGTTTAAAGATGTCCTGTAGGTTCCTAAGCCTCTCCTCATTTTTTTGAATTCTTGTTTCTTTCTTTCTTCTGGTCCACTCCATTGATTTGAGTCCCAGTTTCCTTCTCATCGCTATTGGTTCCCTGTACATTTTCCTTTATTTCGCTTAGCATAGCCTTCATTTTTTTCATCTAATTTGAGACCAAATTCAACCAATTCTGTGAGTATCCTGATTACCAGTGTTTTGAACTGTGTATCTGATAGGTTGGCTATCTCTTCTTTGCTTAGTTGCATTTTTTCGGAGCTTTGATCTGTTCTCTTGTTTGGGCCTTGTTTTTGTTTTTTTTTTTTTTGGTCTCAGCACACCTGCTACATAGTGAGGGGGCGGAGCCTCAGGTGTTCAGGGTGGGGCAACCCACAAGCTGCCTTGTGATGCTGTATGTGGGGGAGGGGTCAGAAAGGGAACAATGGCGCTTGCTCTGCTCTCTGCCAGATTTTAGTCACTTGCCCAGCTATCCACGAGCAAATTGGGCCCTTCTGGTGCTGCTTCCCAGGTGGGTAGTTTGTGTACATTCTAGGACCCTGTGGGTCTCTGTAACGAACTCTGCTGTGAGGCTAGGAGTTCCTCTTGCTGCCACCTCAACCCCCACAGGTGTTTTCAATCAGAGATTTGAGGCTTTATTTCCCCATGCTGGAGCCCTGGGTTACGCGTTCTGTCTCACTCCCCAGTTGTTCCTCCTGGTTTATCTGCAGGGGAATGTGGGACTGCCTGGTCCGCCAGCCACTGCCCAGCCACGAGTCTTCTCCGCCCAGCTACCTGTCTCACTCCTCCTACTGGTCTGGATGAATGTGTCTTCTTTAAATCCTTGGTTGTAGAACTTCCATACAGTTCGATTTTCTGTCAGTTCTGGTTGGTTTTTGTTTTTAAATTGTTGTCGTCCTTCTTTTGATTGTGCAAGGAGGCACAGTGTGTCTACCTATGCCTCCATCTTGGCCAAAAGTCCATGTATTTCCCAATTTTCTGAGTTTTTGTAAGATTTGTATAATTTCTTTCTAAAATGTTTGAAAGGATTTACCAATGTAGTCATCTGGGCCTAGAATTTTCTTTGGATGTTTTAAATTATGAATTTAATTTATGTAACAGATATAGAAATGTTCTTCGTGTATCTGTTAAGTTGTTTTCCACCGAATTTGACTATTTTATCTAAGTTGTTAAATTTCCTGGCATAGAATTGCCAGGTGTTCTTTATTTTCTTTCAATTCCATTACCTATATTTTGTGTATAGGTCTCGCAGTATTTATTAGATTATGCATAGGTATTGGGTCATTTTTCATGCCACTGTAAATTATATATTTTTAAGTTTTCACTCTACTGACACTAAAACCTAACAAAAAAATTACAAGAAAGGAAAACAACAGGCCAAGCTGATTCATAAACATCGATGCAAAAATTTTAAACCAACTATTAGCAAATTGAATACAGCAATACATGACCAGGATAACATCTGATGACCAAGCAGGTTTTATCTTAGGAGAACAAGGTTGATTTAACATTCAAAAGTCAACTACTATACCTTACCTCATTCACTGAATAAAGAAGAAAACCAGTATGATCATTTCAATAGATACAGAAAAAGCATTTGATAAAATTCAATGTCCACTAATGAATCTTTGAAAACACCTCAACAAATTAGGACCAAAAAGGAATGTCCTTAAATTGTTTAAGGGTAGCTACCAAAAAAGGCACTTTCATTTCAACATTGCACTGGAAGTCTTTGCCAGAACAATATGGCAAGAGGAGAAAAATAAAGTTTATAAATATTAGAAAGGGAGGAAAAACTGTCATTGTTTGAAGATTACATAATTGTATACATAGAAAATGCAAAAGAATCTACAAAATATTAGAATTAATAAGTGATTATATGGCCATTGATACATAAAAATTAACTGTGTTTCTACATATTGGCAACAAACAAATGAAAATAGAAAATAATTTTATACAATAGCATCAAAAACAGGAATAAATGCATAGGCATAAACTTAGTGACAGAAGTACAAGACACTGGAAACTCCAAAACATTTTTAAGAGAAATAAAATGAAAGATATACCATGTTCATGGATTGAAAGACTCAGTATTGTTCATTTTATCTATAGATTCAACATAATCCCAACTAAAATTCCAGTAGGCCTTTTTTTGTGTGAAAATTAACATACTGCTTTTCATTGTCCTCGTATTTCTTCCCTTTCCCTTTTTAAAATCAGTTTTACTGAGGTTTAATTTTCACACTGTAAAATGCACCCATCGGTTCAGCCAGACCTATGTACCCACATGTACCCTAAAGATCTGTGTACCTGCACAGTCACCACCAAATCAAGTTACGGAGCATGCCCATCACCACCCAAAACTCTCTCAGACCCTAGCCTGGGGCCACCATTATCTTCCTACTGTTTATATCAATTAGTTTTTACCTTTTGTAAAATTTAATATCAATAAGATTATATGGTATGTGTAATCTTGTATCTGGCTTCTTTTAGTCAACATAGTGTTCTTTTGAATTCACTCATGTTTTTGCGTGAATTAACAGTGTGCTTTTTTTACTGATGAATGTTAACCATCGATTGAAAATGCATAATTTAATTATCTGTTTACCAGTTCATGAATATCTGGCTTCTTTCCAGTTTGGCTCTACTGTGAATAATGTCACCATGGACATTCATGTAAAAGTCTTCATATGGGCATACATCTTCATGTCTCCTTGGTGAGCAGATAAGAGTGAACTGGTCATATAGAAAATGTATGTTTAACTTCAAAAGAAAACTGTCAAAACATTTTCCAAGGTTGTTGACAATTTGGCATTTCCACCAACAATGTATGAGTATTCCAACTATTCCACAGCCTTGCCAACACTTGGTATCATCAGCTGTTCAATTTTAGCTCTTCTAGCAAGTGTGTTGTGGCACCACATTGTGGTTTCAATTCACACTTTCCTGATCACTAATAATGTTGAAATCTTTCCACATCCTCATTAGCCATTCATGCATCTTCTTTCGTCAAGTGTCCATTTAGAGCTTTTTATCTTTTTTAAACTGGATTTTTTATTATTGATTATAAGAACATATATACACACAATAAATACATATATACATTATGTTTTATTATAAATATGCTGGATACAAGTCCTTTTTCAGGTGTATATATAGTGATAGTCTCTCCCAGTCTGTGGCTGCATCTTTTTTTTTGGTATCTTTTAAAGAGTAGAAATGTTCTACTTTGATGAAATCCAATTAAAATGTTTTATGATTTGCACTTTTAACATCCTCAGAAAGCTTTGCAAACTTCAACAAAGCAAAGAGTTTTTCTCTTAGAAGTTTTAACATTTAGGTCCACCATACATTTTGAGTTATTTTTTGTGCATGATGTGAAGTCAGGGTTGAGGTTCACACTTTTCCCATATTAGTATGAAGTTTTCCAGCATCATAGGTTAAAAAATATTAGTCTTTCCTCTACTGAATTACACTGACCCCTTTGTAGAGAGACTCTTGACTAAATACGTGAATCTTTTTGCACTCTCCAATGGCACACTACAGCAACGTGATTTTCATGTTTATATGAACATGCAAGGGGCCCGGAGGAGCAGAGACAACCTTAAGAAGGCAAAATCAGAGGGCTTAGCCCTACAGTAATTAAAGCAGTTTAGTATGGATGCAAAAATAGACAAATTAAACAAGAGAACATAAGGAAGTCAGAAATAGTCTAATATACAGGGTGGGGCAAAAGTAGGTTTGCAGTTGTTCATATGGAAAACCATACAATAATGAATAATAACACAAGAATAAACTCTGTTTCACGTACTCACAACTGTAAACCTACCTTGTATAGATAGTCACCTGAATTACAGTAAACATTCTACTGCGATTCATTGGGCAGGTGATGGTCTTCACAATGAATGAAGTTGTGCGGAAATACATGAACCTTACCCCTACCTCACTCTATACAGAGAATTAATTCAAATGGATCATAGACATAAATGTGAACAATAAAAATGGTAAAGCTAACAGAAGAAAACATGGGAGACCACCTTCATCAGTGTGGGATTAACAATGATTTCTTGAACAAGATACAGAAAGTTCTAACCATAAAAAAAGGATTGATAAATTAATTTTCATTCAAATTGAGAACTTATGTTTCACCCAAAGACATTCACAGATTAAAAAAGCAAATCACAGCCTGGATGAAGTTATTATCGTTAAATGCATTCAACTAAAGACTTATATTTGGAGTTCCCACAAATTAATAATAAAAACCAAACCATCCATTTTTTTACAAGGCCAAAGATTTGAACAGGATCTTCCTCAAAGGGGTTGTTTAAGTGGTCAATAGCCTGTCTCCTGGTGCTCTGTTTCACTGCCATTAAGGGAAATACAGATTAGAACCACAGTGAGATACCAGTGCACACCCACAGATTGGCTAAAACTGAACAGACTGACAGTATCAAGTGCAGACAAGGATATAGGGCAGCAAAATGTTCACCCATGACTGGTGAGAGGGCAAATAAATAGCTGCCTTGTAAACTGTCTGGCAGTTTCTAATGCAGTGTGCACATATCCTATGAGCCCACAGTCTCACCCCTGGATAGATAACCTAACAGAAATGCACATTGGGCACCAATGAGCATGTATGAGAATGACCTCAGCAGCAAAACCACTGAAAACCACACATACGACATAGACAGAGAAATAAATTATGGTGCCTGTACCTTGTAGAGCACTACCCAGCAATGCAGCACTCCACACAATAATCACGTGGATTAACTTCACACACAAAAGAAAGCAGACACAAAAGAATACATCCTGTATGGTTGCATTTGTATAAGATTCAAAAACAGGCTAAGTCAATGTACAAGTTAGTAATGTAGTTACCTTTTTAGGGGAGGGAGAGATAACTGGGAGTCTGGGAGGGGCCAGTGATGGGACAGCCTCGGAAGTCCTGGTAAAGTTCCAGAGCCGGTTACTCAGCCTTGACACTTTCCGTATGTTGGGCTGGACCCTTCTTTGCTCTCATCTGCACTGCAGCATCCCTGGCCTCCTCGACTGGGACAATCAAAAATGTCTCCAGACATCGCTGCCGTGGGCCCTGGGGGAGGGGAGCCAGCACTCTCCTGGTCGAGGACTGGTGTTTATTGCTGGTCCTGGGGGAGCTGGGTGCATGTGCTCACTTCATGAAAATTCACTGCACCACACACACACCATCTGGCAAGTTTCCTGCACACATATGAACTTTTGTAGACTTAAAGGTTTTTAAAATGAAAGAAAGAAGTCAATGAATAGCTAAAAGAACCAAAAATTTTTGAGTGAGCAGAGAAAATTTTAGAGTGAGCAGTGTGATGCCTTGTGTGCGTGTAAGGAGACTACGGTCCAGGGTGTACAGGGACCCTGCTGGCAGTGGGCCCCAGCAGAGAGTCCTGCCCCGGGTCCCACTCCCTTGCCCCTCCCCCTCCCCCGGTCTCATGCAGACTCGCTCCCAGTGCAACCCCGAGACAGATCCCAGGCTGGGTCTACACTGGGACCTCTAGAACTCGAACCCCACTGTGGATCCAGGGTCAATGGATGGGGCTGCCCAGCACCCTGCAAAGAGAATTCTGAAAACCAATATCCCGTGCAAACAGGATATTAGCTTTTGTCAGAGAGATCAAAAAAAGTCTTGAGGTTTTTCTTCGCAGCCTCAGCCTCTCCCTCTCTGGCTTCATCTGCTCATTTCAGTGTGCAGGCAGGAAGAGATGGCGGCCAGGGAGATGCAGGTCTACGCAAAGGTCAACAGCAAGCTCAAGGGCCGTACCGCTGCCTCGCTCCTGGACCCCCTTCTGGACATGGGCTTCCCGGCACACACGGCGTGAGTACTGCCCGATGGGCGCCTGCCCCTGCCTCCCAGCCTGGCCCTTCCGAGGTCCCTGCCACAGAACCACGGGCGGCACAGAGCGCCAACTTCCTGTTGCAGGGGTGCCTGTGGCAGGGGGAGACACTCTCTCGGGTCAGACCTTTTTTTGCTTTTTATAAATGAAGTGATCAGGACATACTCTGCTGGCCGTCTGGTGGGGGGCCTGGTTTGTGGGAATCCAAAGTGTTACAACACCCTGTTTCTCAGGGTTGGGAGGAGCCGGGGGCCTACTTATACCCTCTATGTAAGGCTACTCGGTGACTCTGAGGGGACATTTCAAACTCTGATTCGAAAGGCCCAGTGAGTCCCTAAGTCTGCTGGGATGAGAATGTCTCCAAATGGTGCCAGAAAGCGTTCATCCTTATGAAAAGTCTTTCGAATGTCCGGTCATGAAACAAAATGGTTAGGAAACCACTGTGTTAGCACGATCCTACTTGCCCACGGAGAAAGTCCACATGTAGAAAACTTGAACCTTAGGAGTTACCCGCTCTTAGGAGAGAGAGAGAAGACACCCCAAAGCCATTACTAGGATACCGACCCCGGTTACTGCATCTGTAGGAAACCGTTTTCTTGGAGCAGTTCCCCTCGGATGCTCACCCACACGGGAAACACGCCAGAACCCCCTTGGGTTACCCTGGACTTGGGACAGGGGCAAACTTTCCTTAAACACTATAACTGAATCCCAGCCAAACTGGGTGGAATGATGTTGAAGCTAGAGCCCTTTCTTCTACAACCCAGAGAGGGCTTCGTCCTCATGTTCAAAATAAACCCAGGGCCTGTGAAATGGAACAGGGAAGCCAGCGTGAGCAGAGTGTGTGCCACCCGCCCAACCCTGTCCTGAGCACCTTCCACCAAGTACCAGCAGGGACACTGAGGCCACAGAGGGTGGGCGGAGGCAGGCCAGACCCGAGCCCCACTCTCTAAAGCACCTATGAAGCCCGCACTTTGCCACACCCCTGACCTGTAGCATAAATGCGTGCTCAAAATATTCCTTCTAATTTAAACATTAGCCACATGTCAGGGGTGGGAAACGTGTTAAGCTTCTCCTGAGTCTGAAGCACCCCAAGTAAGGCTCCACAGCAAGGCCTCTCTGTGGGAACCTCTCTGGGGGGAGCATCTACAGAACAACATGGGCCGCAGCCTCCCAGGCTCCTCATCGCCCTCTGCTACTCTGGGCTGAGCTCCTGAATAAATTCCCTTAACCTCACTCCTTGCTGTTCAGTGTGGTCCAGTTCAGTTATTTGACTGATGTGCGCACGTCCTGGTTACAATGCTGAGTGAGACACAGTTGGGCCTCAGGGACCCACAGGCTGGTAGCAGAGGAGAATGGACATGGGCTCACTGAGATAACAAGTGTGGTGACCGTGTATGTGGTGGGGCAATAGAGGGGCTGCACATCCACCCTGCTGGGTGGTTTGGGGAGGGCTTCCTGGAGGAGGGGGCTTTTGAACCAGGCCTGGAAGTACCATGAGCATGTTGGCTCAGGGCCACATTTGGCAGGGAAACAGGTGCAAGTGCGGGCTGGGGCCCTTCACAGCCAACTGCAGGGGCAGAAAGTAGGTCCACCTGGCCCTGGTGCTGGGTGCCTGGGGCATGGCGGGGGGACAGGACTACAGGCTTGGGTGGATCTCAGGGCGTGAGCCCTTGGACTCCAGGCCGAGGATTGGAGGTGGGGGCCCTGGGAGGAAAATGAGCAGGTCTGCATTGTCCCAAACCACAGTAGGCTCTGCAGAGGACAGAGGCCTGGGCGCCGCATCCATCTGGGAAGCGAGCCATCCAGCTCCTCCCGGGGGTGCCATCTGCAGGCCCGCCGTGTGGCAGGGCCACCCCTGCCTCTCCCCCTCGCCCCCAGAATGGAAGAGAGGATTCTGAATGTTCCTTGTGTTCTGCTTTCCTGTAGGCTGAAGGCCTTGGCAGCCACAGGAAGAAAGTCGGCGAAAGAGGCAGCCGAGTGGTGAGTGTGGCTGTCTTCATGCACCAGACAGTGTGGGACTGGGGGTACTCTGCGGGAGACCCCACAAATTGCTCGGCATGGTCCAGACAGGGTGGGGCCACCTCCATGCCCCACCCCCACTCAGCTCTGAGGGAAAGGAATAAACAGCCCTGGTTTAAAGTAAAAAACAAAAGAGCAAGAACCCCAAACAAGGTCTCCTTCACTTAAAAATTCTGATTTAATCCAAATGCGACTGTCCAAGAAGGAAAAAGTTCACATGGTTTGTGGAACGAAGGGAAGAGCTCTTCGGCTGGTGTAAAATAGAGGCCGCCACTCTCTCGGGCTGCCTCAGATGGGGACAGAGTTTACTGGGGTTGTGAATGTCCCCTAAGGCATCGATTGGCACACTGCAGTTTAAGGGGTGCCACTTGCCTGGGGGTGGGGGCGGGAGCTCTGGCTCCAGGCTGTGCCCCCACCCACCAGCTCCATGACTCTGCACACCGCCCACAGCTCTGGGCCCCAGTTGTCTTATCTGGAGATCTGGAGAGGGCACCCCACACTCTGCAACCCAGCCCTGCCTGAGTGTGCCATGATGCCATCCTCTGCCTGCGGCGGGAAGTCCCCTCTCACTGTGCCCGAAACAGCCGTAGTGAAACTGGAACAATAAAAAACCAAGTCCTGCCAGGCTGAGGTGCCCCTCACAGAACAGGATGGCAAGTTCTGGCGGTGGTCCTCTGAGTGCCCAGCATGTCCGCCTTGGGAATGCCCTTCTTTCTCCAGAAACCCTGGGCTGAGGGTCAAACACGTGGCCCCTCCACGGGAGGGAGAGAAACACTGGGACTCAGGGCCCCATTTGAACAGGACCCGCAGGACCCACTGCGCTGAGGGCCCTGGTTGGTCCCTCAGCCAACAAGACCAGAAGTCCCACGAAGGAGCTGGGACATAGTAGGACCCCCTGGTCTCTGCGCAGAGTGGGCCCAAGCGCACTCACACTCAGGGAGGTGCAAATTAAGATGCCATTAAAAACAACCGGCACCTTCCAGTGTTGGGGAGGGGAGGGGAAAGGTGGTCTCTTCCTTTCTGGTTGCAATCTAGGGTGTCTGGTGGCAATCAGGGGTGTCTATCAACTCTGAAACTGGGTGTAGCCACCCAAACAAGCAGTTTCAAGTTTAAGGGCATCCTCTGGAGAAATGCAAAGGGACTGAAAATACATGTGCAACAACCTCAATTACAGTGTTAAAAAGAAAGGGACTTAAATGCACACCAGTGGAATGAAGGTTACCTATGTCCATGATGGGATGTTATACAGCCCGAGAAATTTCCTGCTTGACTAGGTGAATATTTATTAACATGGGGGAATCAGGAAAACATTGTTGAGTAAAAACATGCAAGTTACGGCCCTGACTGGTGTGGCTCAGTTGGGTGTCATTCCGCAAAGCGAGGGGTTACCAGTCTGATTCCCGGTCAGGGCACATGCTTGGGCTGCGGGTTTGGCCCCCCGTCAGGGCATAGAAGAGGCAACTGATGGATGTTTCTCTCTCACATTGATGTTTCTCTCTCTCTCTTTCTCCCTCCTTTCCTCTCTCTCTAAAAACAAGTAAATAAAATCTTAAAAAATGCAAGTTGCAGAATAACTTGAACAATGGCTTATAACTGATATAAAACACATGCAAGTGCTATCTATCAATTTATTACTTAAATGTCTACAGGAAAACAAAACAGCTTACCCATTCAGGTTGCCTCTAGAAGGTGCAAGTGAGTCAGCATAAGGGGGGTGGGTGCCTCTATTCGTATTTTTTATTATTATTAAGGAGATGTGTTTGCACATAACTAATGTTCCCCCGAGCGGGTGCACATCAAGTTCTAAACTTAGTATTATCTCACGAGCACTTTCCTGAGACATGAGCAAGGCTTCCAAACCACAGTTTCTAATGAACAGATAAGCAAATGTATTGTCATTCCCCTAGCTTTTCCTTCTTTCCTATTGTAAATAACTCTACAATAAACATTTCATACATGCAGTTTTCTTTTATACTTCTTGTCTTTTCCCTTGGTTCAGTTCCTGGAAGTAGAATTATTAGTTCCAATGGTCCAGGTGTTCTAAGGCTTTGACACGTACTGGCCAATCACCATAGGTGGGCAATCACGTAAATTGATCCTTGAATCTCACTGCACCTGTGGCACGATAGCAGGTAACTTACATCCTTTGGAGAACCTGCGTTCATTTGGCACGTGTGAAAGATGGTTGTTTTAATTCTCATGTTTATTCTTAGTGAGAATGCTCTTGGATTATGGGTTACCTATTGTTTTCGCTCGTACCTGAAATCACTTTCTGAGCTGAAAGAAAATGTGATAGCCCCCCTAAACTTTGCCTCGTTCTCTGTGGTTTTGACTTTTACATTTAACTGGAAGTGCGAGATAAAATTAAAATGTGAATTTTTTCCCACAAAATGTTTGGCACTAAAAGCTGGCTGGACCACAGAGGTCATTTGAAGACCAGATTCGGAGGTTCACTGTTGCCTTCCTCGAATTTTCTTGGCCTCTGACCTGGGAATCAGAGGTGCTGGTCTGAGACCCAAGTGGCCACACAGGACGCGGAGTTGGGTGCACCTCACTGTGAGGGGTGGGGAACAATGGTCGTGGCCCATGTGCCTCTGGTGCTCAGCACAGCCTGTTGCTCTGAGGGGCTGGCCTCCAAGAGGACAGGATCTTTCTGTCACGACACCAGGTGAAAGTGGCCTGTGCTCTGTTGCAGGCTGCGCTGTCATTGCAATGACCCTTCTCTAGATGACCCCATCCCTCAGGAGTATGCCCTCTTCCTCTGTCCCACGGGGTCCCTGCTGGAAAAGCTTCAAGAGTTCTGGAGAGAGAGCAAGCGCCAGTGCACAAAGAACAGAGCGCATGAGGTCTTCCCTCACATAACGCTCTGTGACTTCTTCACGGTGAGTTGTCCCCAACATGCCTTTAATGCCCATTAACCTGGCAGTGGAAGTAATTTTCTGCAAAAACCAGGCAGTGATGGGACAAAATCAAGGACGGCCACTTGGTTTATTTTGATGGGGCGGGCCACAGCTGTAGTGTTAGCTGACTTCTTTCTGTGAGATGTCCTTTACTTTCTCCTTACCTTTATCTGGTCAACTCCTATTCATCCTTCAGAACCCAATTCATTTATCCCCTCCCTTTCTTAAGTCTTGCCCAGCTTCCCAGACAGAAGGAATTTCAGCTTTTTGTGCTCCCACCTTCCTTTGTTTATGTCTCTAAGTGGCACTTGCCCTGTCGTATGACAATGTGTTCGGGGCATCTCTGTGTCCCTCACCGGAACGAGTCTCTCAAGTAAAGCCACCCCTAGAGATTGGCGCAGGGCCTGAAACAGAGGAATAGATGGGTTTGGGCCAATCGCAGATGTAGGAGTGGTCCCCACCTGGGGGACCAGCCTCAACTTAGAAAATGGTCACACAGACAGCTCCATGGGGGCCCTGGGAAGGCGAGAAGGGCCTGCACTGCTCAAAAGAGAAGGAGGTGTGAGAATGCGGGAGGCAGGGAGGGACAGACACCACTTCCTCTGCGGTTCCATCAGAAAAACCTGGAGAGGACACACCCTGATGTTGGCCAGCTCTGTGGGCTCCGCCCTCTCTGGGTGACAGCCGGGGGAGCACCAACCACGTTGGGCGGGGAGTGGCACCATGGCACTAAGAGGGGCGTTCAGACAGAACTGCAGGGGCGGCGAGGACACAGGGTCAGAGTCTGTGTTGGTCCTCGGTCCTCCCAGGGTCAGACTCCAGACTGAGAGGTGCTGGAGATTTCTGCAGGAGAAACGCCCATGATGGATAAAGGAGAAGACAGGACGGGCAGGGCAAGCCTCGCAGGCCTGGCGCCCATGCACGGAGTGGGAGGAGGACCAGGGCCCAGAGCCTCACCTGCATTCACTGCTCCCAGAAAGATGGGGAGCTGGGAGCCGAGACCCCATCAGGCATAGAACAAACCCATGACCCCAAACACATGAACCAGACAAATTACATTACAGTTACAGCATTGTGAACAGAAAAGAGGCTCCCTAGGCTGCATAATTTTATTAATTACATTGATAGATGTTTAAAAATAAATGAGCCGCTTTAAAATGGAGCCGGAGCTGCCCTCTGGGAGGAGCTGCCCCGCGTGTCTGATGCCCCAAACCCCAGAAAGTTGGAACAGGGCCAGACCACCTTGGGCTGCGCCTGAGCTACCTTGGGCCCCAAGAACTGTTTGCAAGGATGACAAGAAAGCAGATGTGCTGACGACCAGCTCAAACTGTTTCAAATTATTTAGCATCAGCATGATCACGGTGCATCATCTGCACCAGCAGCCAGGCCTTCCTTCTGTGGATGGAGCTGCTCCCCCCGCCTTTCCCATCAAAGTCCCGTTATCTCCACAATGGAGCAGTGTGTGGGCTTCTGCCTGAATCGGTGCTTCCCAAGTAGCTGTTCTTTTCCCTGATGTCACATAAATGCTCGTTACCTCCTACTTTGAAAGGCCTTTTATTTTAGGTTAATGGGGGGACCTTGTAACAAGTGCCAAGAAAGCACATGGCTGTCTTCTCTTCCCTTAGTGTGAAGACCAGAAGGTGGAGTACTTGTATGAGGCTCTAAAGAGAGCTGGAGACCGGATGCTGGGCTCCTTCCCCTCAGTGGTCCCTCTGGTTCTTCATTCTTCCATCAGCTACCTTGGCTTCTTCGTGAGTGAGGGCCCTGCAGATGTCATCCGGGAATTCGCCACGATATTCGCCACGGAGGCAGCTGTCTTAGCAGGTAGGCAGGCCTGGCCAGTGGCACCCACAGGGCCCGTTGATAGAATGTGGCCCCTTGGTGTCCGGGGCTATGCTCGCTGCACTTGGGTGCAGTGGGTGGATCCCAAAGGCAGAAGGCAAACATGCCGTTCCTTACTGCAGTGACAGTCAGGTGGCTGGCCGGGCCGGCTGGGTGGGGCTCAGGGGTGCACCTGCCCTCGGCCAGGCCACGTCCATCCCCACCACTCCCTTGCCAAGCAACTTCTTTGATAGGGCCTTGACCCAAGGCCAAACAGTTTCCCTAGATCCTGCCTAATGAGCCCAATGTCCTTATAAGGTAAGCAAACAGAACCAGCGGTGGTCTTCTCTCCCACCAGAAGAGCCTCGTTTGCATTGATTTCAAAGTGATTTTCCAGACACCTGCCATGTTCCAGCTCCGGGGGAAACTGTCCCAGGTGGGAACACTGTGTGGCTGTGTAATGACAGGGACTGCAGGCTGGTGCGCACACAGAGAGACAGGGCCACCCCCCAGCCCCGTACCCACCTCGGGCATCTCTCCTAAACACATCGGTGCTGTGTATAAAACACAAGTCCTCGCTGATTCATTTTAATTTTTAGGTTTGAGCTTAGTCCCCTCTCCTTGGCCTTTTGGGGGAAGATGATCTAGACTCACTCTGAGACTCAACAAAATCCCTTTTCCCCAAACGCCAGCCAGGTCTGGAGAGTGAGGCTCTGGCTGGCATCTTCAAAGATGTAAATCGCTCCTGCGTCTCTGGTTAGCAGTGTGCCTTCCTCCAGTCACCTCAACTCCCTGGGTCATTTTTCTTTCTCTGCAAAATGGTGAGGCTCTTGTTCTTGGAACAATGCAGCTTATTTTCATGGAAACTCCCTGTTGCTCCTGGTGCTTCTCAGTGTTGTGATGCGCCAACTCTGAAACTCAGAGGCCACAGCCCCGGTGGGAAGACCCCTCCGCACCCCTGCACAGGTGGCCCATTCGCCCCATCCCCACACATGTGTGATCCCACGTCCCCGAGTCCCAGATTCCCACTGGGAGGCTACCTTGTGGAGTCCGGAGATCAAATATGCTGGACAGTTGTGAACTCACCCCTCGTCTCTGTGCGTTAGTCTCCGTTACGTAAAGGCGACCTCAAAGGTGGTCTCTTGAATCTCCTGCCTCTGAAAAGACAACATGGTTCTCGTCCTGGTGCAGTGTGTCAGCCACGTGCCTCGGAGCTGGCCTGGTGCTTCGCTTCCTCTTTGCTTCTCCCCCCAAAGCGGGTCCGGCTGCCCATTTAGCAAATGGAGAGACTGAGGCTCGGAAGGGTGTTGTGTCTGCCCAAGGCCACTGCCCTGGGTTGAATAGTGTCCCTTAAAATTCACGTCTACCCACAGACTCAGAAAAGGGCCCTGCTCAAAAATAGGGTCTTCGCAGATATAATTAGTTAAAAGGAGGTCATACGGGGGTAGGGTGGGCCCTAAATCCAATGACTGGTGTTTTTGCTCAGAGAGGACTCGGAGACACAGGAAGGAGGGCGTGTGAAGACAGAGGCAGGGATCAGTGATGCAGCCGCAGGCCAAGGAACCCCCGGATCCCCCAGAAGCTGGAAGAGGCAGGAAGGACCCTCCTCCCTCCCAGAAGCCCAGAGAGAGCAGGTCCTGCCCCACCTTGATTTGAGATTTCTATTGTTCAGAACTATGAGGGAACAGATTTCTTCTAAGCCGCCCAGTAAGTGGCAGTTTATGACAATGGTCCCAGGAAACCAGCAGAGCCCCCTGCCCAGGGGTAGAACTGGGCCCGGAGTCCAGCTCCGTCTCACTCCACACCAGCCGGGCTTTCTACTGAGCAGCCACAGGCCCTGAGAGGTCGGTCAAGGCCTGACCCTGAACAGGCTCACCCTGCCCTTCTGCTGCCTGTGCCCCAAGCCTGACCCCGAGGGCTTCCAAAGGGCCAGCCCCAGCCCTGTTGTCTCCCTCCTCATCGAAATGTCCCCACGGGGATGGGGCCACAGAGAGAAGAAAAGACAAGAGCCCATTCAGAAGTTGGGGTGACTCACTGGTGGCTCCGATAACAACAGCGGTGGGTCTCAGCCACACTGACTCAGGTGGCAAGGCTGCCCTGCCCCTTCTGCTAAGAGAAGGAATTTCCCCGACGCCCACTCAATCTCTTGCCTCAGGCTTCTCACCTCCACAGCTGTGGGTGAAATGTGGGTGGGGCCGCCATGCCGGGGCTCCAGGAAGTATCCACAGTGCCCTTGACACTTCTCAGAGGAGGACAGATCCTGTCTGCTGCTGCGTGCTGCCTGTGGGAGGGGAAGCAGGTAACCGATAGTAACTGAAAGACTCGGAGAGGCTGTGGGTTCAGAGACTGGTTTCCACAGCCACCCCAGCAGGCAGGTCTCGCCATCCTCAGGTCTCTGCTGTCGAAACGGAAGCTGAGTCAGGCCAAGGTGGCCCCACCAAAAGGAGCAGGGTGGGTCTAAAGCCAGGTCTACCTGATACCAAACTCTGAGCTATTTCCATCGGTTGCCACCTCCCCAGAACATAAAGCACTTTGTGGCCCAGATGAAATCAGACCCTGGCTGACCTGAGACCCCCACAAAGACCACGGCCCACCAAAGTGAGCCAAGTGCCAGAGAGACTGTCATGTTCAACAGAATTGTGTTGCCTGTGGCATTCTCTTCCCAAGACTCTGCAGCTGAATGAGAAGCCACTGGCCTGGAAAGTGAGCCCACCAGGCCGGGCCACTGAGTAACATGTTCACCCCAGGAATGGAGCGTCGGCTTCCTATACACGTTAATCCACCATTGGGGCAACTAGTTTGCAAAGCCATAGATCCTAAACTCCACCCCCAAATCCCCATCTCTACCCACTCCTCTTTCATGCTTCCTTGTAGAATCCTCAGGTACCCAACCACCTCCTCTTTAAGGAGAACTCTGAAAAATGGCACAGTTTGGGGGAGTCCTTGCCTGGCCAAGGAAGGCCTAGTGCAAAGGCAGGGAGCCGTGGGTAAGGGCTCGTGCTGCTGAGCCAGGGTGCGCAGCCATCCTGGGCCCGCGGTGCTGACGGTGGGCGTCCCTGTGTTTACCCGGTTCTGCAGACTGCACCGTGAAGCCCTGTACCAAGCAGCTGCACCTGACACTGGCCCACAAGTTCTACCCCCACCACCAGAGGACTCTGGAGCAACTGGCCAGGGCAGTGAACCCGGGCCACAGCTGCCAATGGACCGCAGCCCTGTACTCGCGGGACATGCGCTTCGTGCACTACCAGGTAAGCAGCCCAGGTCGGCAGGGACATGGATCCTCCGGCAGAAACTGCATGTGAGGCCTCCCTGGTGGAGCACCCACCCCTTCCGCCCTCCGCTGGAGGTACTTTAGTGGAAGGAAGAACTCCTATTCTTTCTCTATAATTTTTTCTTTCTTTGTGCAATTTGCAATCAGCATTGTTTTATATGTATATATACATGTATGTGTGTATATATATATGTATATATATAGTGAGGCAAAATAGATTTACAGTCGTGAGTATGTGAAAAAGAGTGTATTCTATATTTATGAATTATTGTATTATTTTCCATATGAACAACCATAAACCTCCTTTTGTCCCATCCTGTATAAGTTGCAAACACACAAATTTGGGAGAAAAATGAAAGCATTTCTGGTAATAAAAAATGAACTGTTGCAAAGATTTATCAATATATTGTGTTGCTTATTACCGTGTTTTGCCATGTATAATGCATACATTTTTGCACAAATATTTGAGGGAAAAATAAGGATGTACATTATACATGTACTAATTCCATAGCTATATAAATGTTTTTAATTCTCTTATTTATGCTTATGCATTAAAAGTATAACTCTAGAAAGCAATAATGATATTGACATGCAAAATACCCTAGAATATAATAATTGGCTTTGTTTCTAAATATAAATAAATGAGTTAAAAGAATTAAAATGAAACTTTTTTTCCCTAAAAGTTCAGGCCAAAAACATGGGTGTGCATTATAGATAGCCAAATACAGTGATTTGTTTAGATAATGATTTGGGTGAAGCCTCATTCCAAGACTCTCTCCCACCAAACCGACTCGTTCAGACAGAAACCATGCAGTGCTCCGTATGGACCCACGGAGTCAGTGGGGCTGAATCTTCCGCATTCCGTGCTGTGAAAGAAGCTGTAAAACACTTCACAGCAGGGACGGTAGATGCGAAACTTGGGCTATGCCTCGAGATATTTCATAAGAAATAAGGACAAAGACTGATGGATACATAGATACCTGGATACATAGATCGATAAATGACAGATGAATGGTAGAAAGAAAGATGATAGACATGACAAACAGGTGATTGATAATAGATGATAAATTGATGATAAATACATGCTTATTGTACATACATACTTGACAAATGATAGACACCAAAATTCCCTTCTAAATCTATCCAGAGGCCTTGGTGCTGTATTTTGTTATGTTCTAGCCATCTGTCATCTGACAAAGGCTTGGGTGGCACCTTGGAGACATGCAGCTCATGAAAGAGCTGAAAGCCAAAGGCAGACATAAGCCCCCTACCGTCATCTTTCCCAGCCCTGGCCCTTGCTGGAGACATGAAAACGTTTGCCTCTTTTCCAGACCCTGAGGGCCGTATTTCAGTACAAACCCCAGAACGTGGACGAGCTGCCACTGAATCTTGGCGACTACATCTTCGTGGACCCCACTGAGCAGGAGGAAGCCAGCGAGGGCTGGGTCATTGGGCTCTCTCAGCGGACCGGCTGCCGAGGCTTCCTGCCTGAGAACTACACGGAGCGAGCCATCGAGTGTGACACCTGGGTGAAACACAGGTGAGTGCGGCCCCCAGCGGCAGCCCAAAGGTCCCTCCCCACGTTAGTGCCTGAGAGTGTCCGCCTGAAAACAGTGGCCATGGTGTTTGCATGCTTCTAGACCATTCCGTCACTGGTATAAATTGCAATATTACCCCTGCAGGGATCTTGGCTGACGTGTGGTTTTCTGCTAATAACACTCAGAAAATGTGAACTCTCATATACGGCTTCTACGATCTTAATCTCAAAAGATTACAAAATACCACTTCCTTGTTATGGACACAAATTACAATCAGAAGTCCTGTGCTTGCTTTTACTTATCTCTACCCAGTCACAGGGGTGTCCAACTTATTGGTGTCTCTGGGCCACACTGGAAGAGCTGTCTTAGACCACACACTACTAAATACATTGCAACACATAATCACCAAAAAATATCATCATGTTTTAAGTAAACTTATGATTTTGTGTTGGGCCTCATTCACAGCCATCCTGAGCCACATGTGGCCTGTGGGCCTCAGGTTGGATCGCCCTGCTTCTAGAGCCCTATGGCGGGCGCATCATTAGTTTTCTATGTTATATAACACATGTCCTTAACCTAATGGCTAACACCACATGCATTTATTACCTCACAGTTTCCACGGGTCAGGAGTCTGGGCGTGACTGAGCACAGGGGCTCCCATGGCTGGGGTCAGGTCTGGGCTGGGGCTGGGGGCTTATTGGAGGCTGAGGGGCCTCCCCCAAGCACGCGTGGTTGTTGGCGGAATTCATTTTCTCGAGGCCCTGGACTCCTGATGGTGTCATGTTCTGGTGGAATTTCTTAATTTTATCATCTTCAATGTCCCCTGAATGGTCTGAGGATTTTCAAAGTCACCAAGTACTGGTTCCTCTACCTGGACAATTCTTCCCTCAATTTCCTTCTCTCCTCACGCCCTTAACACTTCACGTGGAAACATGCTTAGCTCCATAACCGATTTCCTCACTTACAAGTTCTGCTTCCCACGGACAATTCCACTAAACTTTTTTCCACTCCACGATAAGGTCTCGTCTTCCTCCAATTTCCTATGACGTGTGTCTCACTCCCTCTGGTCTTCACCAGCAACACCTTTAACGTCCGTATTCCTGTTAACAGTCTGTCCAAGGTCGTTTAGACTTTATCATGCTTCTCAAAACCCTCCCAGCCCCCACCCGATGCTTGGTCTCAGGTGTTTGTTACAGCGACACCCCACTCCTGATACCAAATTCAGTGTCAGGAAAGGTTTAACCAGAGAAGCGTAGCCAGTAATTTTTATACTATAGTTATATATACACACATACATATTTATAATATGAATACATATAAGTATATTTCATATTCTATACTCATATATAATCATTTATAATATAACTAACCTACATTTTGTTCCATTATTTTGTATTATCTGTATAATAATACATGCATACATTACACACCATGTGTCTACATATACATGCATGGATTTATCACAGGGGATTGATTGCCTTGCACAGTTGTTGGGGCTGGCTAAGCACAGGCGAGCAAGAAGGCAGGGGAGGAGCCCAGAGCAGCCTGGAAACCATGGCCAGCAAAAGCCCACGCCTAGGTGTTACAGTCGGGAAGGACCACCCACCCAGCAGGTGGACGAGCAATTGCAGACTCGGCTGCTACTTGCGTCTCTGAGCTCGGGGAAGCCCTGGGCCTTTTTAAAAGACCTTCAAATGGAATAAGTCAGGCCCAGCCAGGACACTCTCCCTTGTGATTAACTTCAAGTCAATTGACTAAGGACTTTGATCACATCTGAAAAATCTCTTCACCGCAGCATCTAGACAGCTTTTGATTGGATGACTGGAAAAAAGGTGTGTGTGCATTTTCAGCCATGACCCAAATGCCTGTAGAAGAGGTAACTAAACTTAAAAATAAGCCAGTGAAATAAGTTGTGGTACAAACACACAATAGAATACTTGCAATTTTTTAAATGGTCATGAGGAAGCATTTTATGTACTGACATGAAAAAGCCCTAGGTGAGCTGTAGAACACTGAGTACAGTACTATTTGCAGGGAAGGGATGAAGTTAAACATACTTGTCTGTGCATATATATGCAGGATATGTATTTATATGCAAGTCTGTGCTTTAAAGTTCCCTGGAAAGGAGAATCTCTAGAAACTTCTAACATTGGTTACCATGTGGAACATGGGGGTTCAAACTGGAAGAATGAACAGGAATGAGAGGAAGGCTCTTCAATACCAGTCCATAATTTTTAAATTTTGAACCATATAAATGTGTTATTTATTCAAAATAGAAATTCATCTGTTTTAAATGTAGAGAAAAGAATATAAGGAAATTGGGTCAGAGGGAAACAAGCGAGACAAGCCGGGGCTGAGGTTTGCACACCAGGTGCATGCTGGGAGCTCCCGGCTCCAAGCTTTCCCACACCCAGTGTGAGCAGGGCTGCGGCTTCCCACCAGCCAGCACAGCCCTCCCAAGAGCGAGTAGACCAGTTGTTCAGGGGAAGCGCAATTTTGCAGGTATATACAGTGCTGTGGGTCCCCTGGGCCACCACAAAACCACAAGATGTTGGTGCCACTTGGGACTGCAGAGATAATTAATTCTGTTTCTCTCTCTGGAGGGCTGAGCACCCTCAGACCCAGGGGCAGAGGTCTGGATGAGACCACACATTTAAGGAAGCACTTGTTTCCATTTAGTACCAACTGCATCCTCATCCAATCTAATACACGGTTTAAGGAAAGCAGAAGAGAGATGCTGGTCCCACCTTAAATGACAATGGGAGTTCCAGGAGGTCAGAGCATCCCTCCGGCTCCTGTCCTCCAGCTGGCCCTTGCTCCCTGCTCTGCTTCCTGCTCACTGTCACCAGGCGATTGGCAAACCTGGATGTTTCTAGAACTAGGCAGGGAAGACTCAGTAGAAGATAAGTTTGTGGCTTGAACATTTTTTTGCTTCACAATCTGTTAGTCACCTGGCACCAACATAATCATTTCAGCCTTTAAGCCTGACATTTCTGGAACTATTTTTCCTAGAGACACACTTCTCTTAGGAATTAATAAGCATTAACAAAAACTGCAACAAAAGGAGAGAAAAGTCAAAAGTGCAAGGCTAAGCTGTGGCTGGTCCTCTTTTCGAAAGCACCCCATCCTCACTGGGGGGGACAGTGAGACAAACCGTGATATGACCATTGGCCAGAACGCCAGATAGCTGGCCTACTGTCGGACTCAGGGGTCCCAGCTCAGCCTTTTAGAACTGCCAAAAACGAGCTTATTAAACACTTACTGCTTTTTAACTTACACAATGGTCCTCAAAGGTCTGGACATTGCTGATCTGTTGAGTAGCGGGACGTGTAGAAATCAGTCCCCTAGGGCATCGGCTGCAGGACTCACCCTGGGCTTGTACAGCCCAGGCGCAAGAACCTCTGGCCTGTCAGTGCTTGAGAGCATGGTCGCAAGTATATGGGGAGGAGTGCCCTGCCTACCTTAGGAGACACGCTTCTAGGTATGAGTTTGCAGCTGCAGTGCCCACGGCACGGCATGGCCACTAAAACCCCAGCTGCCCATCACCAGTGCAACGGCCCCGGGAGTCTGGACGCCCTGGACGCCCATCCACACAGAATGTTTGTGTGTCACTGTGAAGAAAAGGGTCCGCGGGGTCAGAGTGGTCGTGCTGCAGGGGTGTTTTCCTGAGTCACTGCACTTTTCAACTCTCTACATAGAAGAACGTACGTAGGAGAAGCGTAGGACCGAGAGCTGCGAGGCCTGAGTGGCAGGGCGGAGAGGACACTTGTCGTCTTCTAGCCGTGGCGCGGTTGCCAACACCGAAGCCCTACAAACCTGTAACTTTGCAAAACCACAGAGCACACTCGTGCAAGTAGCTCCACCGTAGTAATCGTGTCCTTCTGGGCTGAGCTGCGTCCTCCTGAAGTTCACGGGGCGAAGCCCTGACTCCCGGCACCTCAGGATGGGACAGTATTTGGAGATGGGATCTCTACAGGGGAGATTTGCTTAAAACGAGGCTGTTCAAGGGGCCCTCATCCCATACGACTGGTGTCCTTCTGGCAAGAGGAGATGGGAACACAGACTCCCACAGCGGGGCCACCGTGTGAGGACATGGGGAGGACATGGCCACTCTAAAGGAAGGAACCAACCCTGCCAGCACCGTGACCTGGGACTTCCAGCCTCCACATTGTGAAAGGAGTAAATTTCTGCTGTTGAGGCTGCCCACCCAGTGCGTGACACCTTGCTACGGTGGCTTTAGCAACGGACACAGTGGTGTCATCCGTATAGCCCCACAGACTGCAGCCAGGCCCCTTTCAGAAGCCAGGGGCAGCGCAAACATGTCCAGGGTATAAGTCAACCATTGAGGGTTACCGCTGAGTCAAGGAGAAAAACAAAATCATTAAACTGCGAGGTCCTTCCCTTTCTCCCGTCACTGCCAACATCCCATCGTCTTTTTGCTTGCATTGCACTTGAAAGACTGGCAAAAAAAAGAGTCAATTTTGTCTCTAACTGTAAATTTGACAGATGTCATTTATAGCTCATGAGACTGTGCCATATGCAGGCTGAGCCGCAAGCAGGGTGCCCCCGCCTCGCCTCAGGAAGAGAAACCAACCAACGTTTCCTGGGTCGATGTGAGTGAGAGGCTATGAATAGCACCCGCGCTGCCGAGAGTGTGTTCCTTTGAAGAGGGAAATGTCAATGGTTCGAATATCATGCCAGTGATTGGGGTCTATTTGTGACCCACTGAAGCTCACGCAGCACGTGAGCAGAGTGAGTCTGCTTGACCCGGTTACCCCGGACAGGCAGCAACGTGGAAAGAGAAAGTACGGACTACTTCAGAAACGCATTAAGTACAGCAAGAGACGAAGGATGTGATGGCTGGTCCGGGGCGTATGGCCGTGGTGCCAAAGGCCGGTGACCGGGGGCACTACAGGGGGTGCGATGGAGGACAGATGCCCCTGCAGTGCTCCCGGCTCTGTTCCTCCCGAGGGTCTCAGGCTGGAGGACGGGGAGCCGTCGGTTTGATGAGAAGTGGGGGTGCTGAGGCCTCTGTAAGAGAAAGGCAAAGTCTACAAATGGGCTAATAAGTATAAACATGCCCCATTTAGGATCCCAGGAAAAAATGAACTGTGAATATATTGATGTCTCCTGGAGTCATTTCCAAGTGTACAGAGAGTCCAGGAAAAGCCCCTGTGGTGTCGCTTTCTAGAACTTCGGTGAATGATGGGAGTGTTTATCTGGAAAAATCAACAGAGAGAAGAGCTGAGAAAACTTCGAAAAGTAAAGGCATCAGAGTAGATGGCTACCTGCCAGATGTGCAAAGCGTGTGGCCGATGTATAACGTGGCCTGGGCTTGAGGGAGAAAGGAAAGACACAGACTAGTGGACCAGAACAGCGACAGACGGGGGCCCGGCCTGCAGGGAAGGGCACCAGGAAGAGGGACAGGAATGGGTGCAGAGAAAATGGCACTTTACCTGACCTCACATCAAAGCCAAGAATTAAACAGAAGAAGGAAGTATGTAAAACTAGAAGGCAGTTAGTTAAAAGGAACGCATCTCTGATTTCTGGACCGCTGGGGAGAGCTTTGAAAGCATAGGAGTGATGGAGGGGAACTCAGAGGGGCACTTAGATGTGTCTTTAATAGTGATTATTAAATGCTTGAAGCTTGAGGTTTCTCTATGGTAAAAGTCACAACGAATACTACGATCCAAAGAGCCAGATGAGAACAATGCTTTAAGAAAATAGTAACAAAGGCGATGGTCCCCTACCAGTCACCCACATGATCAGATTACACACCTCCTCCTCATCCTCCCATAAACCATGCCATCTGGGGCCCGGGCGGCCCTGGACACTCAGCCCTCGGGCACTCCTCCCCACCAGCTGGTCTGTGTCTAACTGTTTCATTTAACCAGAAGGCCGTCCACTGCACTCTTCATTCCCAACCACCGTGACAGGTGAACAATCAAGAGCGTCCACCAGCTGTCCCCACCACACCACCTGCCTGCAGTCTCTGTACCAGCTGTCCTTCTCCCCATCAGACTGTGAAGCGTGGTGCACCCTCCTGGCCCGGGCACCGGCCCATGTGCCTGTGTCCCAACCCTCCTGGGCAGCCATCCCTCCAGCATCCTGCCAGCATCACCTACGGTTCCCAAGACCTCCTCGATCAGCCCCACCAGCAGCAAAACCAAGCACTCTCCTTTTTTCCATTCCCCTCTCTAGCTACTGCCCCAGGTCTCGGCCCTGACTGTAGATTATTTAAAATTGAGTCTATAAAGACTACCTTTCCTTTTAAAAAATGAACTTTTCCCCAGGGCACATGGTCGTTTGCTTGCTCTGGCCCCTCCCAGTTCCTTCCAGACACTCTCGTGTAGGGCACCTTACCGTCACCGCCACCCCCCTAGCCTAAGTGTGCCGTGGTCTTTTGTCCCAGTCATCCCAGGGCTCCCAAACCCCGCCCACCCCTGCACCTTTCTTGACTCACAGGACAGGTAGCTGTTTCCTCATGGCCTGCAAACTCTGGGCGCTGCTTTTGCCCACCCTCCCACACGGTCCGCCCCTTTCCTGTGTGTGTCCGTAGCTCATTCACTGCTGCATCCCAACCAAACGACCTTGACCACTACAGAAGGTGACGGTAGGAGATCATCGCATCAGTCTGCCCAGGCTGCTGGAACACAGCACCACCGCAGGCTGGGCGGATAAGTGGTACGAATCTGTCCTTTCACAGTCTGGAGGCTGGAAGTCCAGGATGGAGGTGTCGGCAGCGTGGGTTCCTCTGGAGGCCTCTCCCCTTGGCGTGTATCTGGAGGCCTTTTCCCGGCTCTCACATGGTCACTCCTCAGTGTGTGTCTGTGTCCCAGTCCCCTCCTCTTATAAGGATACCGGTCATGTTGGGTTAAGAACTACTCGAATGACCTCATTGTACCTTAATTACCTCTTTAAAGTCCCCCTGTCTCCACATACAGCCACCTCCTGAGGTCCCAAAGGTTTTAGGACTTCAACGTATGGATTGGGACGGGGCAGTTCAGCCCTTCACGGGTGGTGACACAGGGACCAACAGCCAAGAGTTACTCAGGATTCTTTACGTGCTGAGCACCAAGCTCTTTGAACTCATCCTTTCGTTCGTCCTCGCCATGACCTTCTGCCTTTCATGTCCGTCCTCGAGCACCTGCCTGGCCCAGTGCTTCCGTGGCCATCGTGACCAGCACCTGGTTTCTTCGCCCACAGGACGTACACCTTCAGTCTGGCCGCAGACCTGAACTCCAGGAAGGACGGGGAAGCCAGCAGCAGACAGAACGGGGATCTCCATCCTCTGCCAAGGCCGCGGAGCGCCAGCAGCCTGCAGGCTTTACAGGTGACGGGCTCCCTTTTTTGTACAGTGAGCTCAGTGACATCACACTTTATGTCAGCTCTGCTTAGACTCACAGGCGTGGCTTTTGTCCTGCAGACACTCACACCCTTGTTGCCCGGGAGCAGAGTGCAGACCCTGGTGGGCCAGCAGGAGGCCCTACCCTTCGGTGCTGAGGTGCCAGGCTGCTCCGTCCACCTGGACACAGGGTGGACCCCCACGGCTGAGAGCCGGCCTGTACCCTACAGGCACCTGCTGGGTTTTCGAGAATAGGGAGCACATGGCTGTTACTCGGTCATGGTGCCAGGACACAGGGCAGGGAAGGGAGAGTGACACAACCCTGCCGGGAATCCAAAGCTCTCACCCTGATTCTGTCATTACCAAGCTGCATGACCCCGATCGAGTCTTCTTCTCCTTAAGCCCCAAAAGATAGAGCTTCTGTGCTTTCAAGTCAGGCTGGGCGAGATGAGGAGGTACATGCTCGGTAACAGGGGGAGACAGCAGCCTCAGCCCCAGGGTCGGGGGTACAGCAGGGGCATCTGAGCCCACCACCCACCTGGGAACATGTGCAGAGGTGAAGACTGCAGGCAGGGCCCGGGTGGAGCAGGCAGCTCCTCCCCCAAACAAGCCAGGAACTCGGCGTCCCTGATGCTGCCCGAGTGGTGGGCAGGCGGCCCTCTGCTCCGGAGCCGCAGCCCGCCTGTAGGAACCCCAGACAGCAGGGCGGCACCTGCAGCTGGCCCCAGCCAGTTCCCACTCAGCGGAAACGCCTCTATGGCCTGTGTGAGCCGTCCCTCCACACACATCCCCGCTCTGTGCCACATATAGGACGTGGGCTTTCATCCCAGCCACCCCTCCCGCCCCAGCACCGGTGGCATTAGTCCCACCCCATCCTTACTTTACAGATCTGAAGACTGAGGCTTGCAGAGGCTGGGAAGCTTGCGGGGAGCACGAAGACACCTAAGCATCCCCCAACACTGGGTTGTTTCAAGAATGATATGAGACAGGAGGTCACGTGTCCCCTGCAGGCCAGGCCCAGGGTCCTGAGAAATGGTTACTACCCAGACGGCAGGGCCACGGTGTCTGGTCCACACCTGTGTCCCAGAGCCTGGCTCGGGGCCTCACCCGTAAATCTCACTGGATAAACCATAGAACAACCTAATGAGGGCCCTAATGGATACTCCTGATGGAATCACCCTAAATTCAAATCTTCTCCCCAAGAGCCCATTGATCCCCCAGAGGCCGCCTGCAGCCTGGGATGGGCTCACTGTGGACAAAAGCTGAGCACCAGACGCTGGGCTCTGGGCAGGCAGCTGGCATCTCCATTAGCTGAGTCTTCAGTTGGAGAGAAAGGGCCAGGGAAGAGGAGCCGCTGACCAGGAGCCAGGGACCCGCCAGCTGCAAGAGACAAAAAGAGGCTCCAACCCCCACACTGCCCAGGCTCTGGAAGGTGCAGTTGAGTCTGGACTCACCAGTGGGAGAGTATGAGAACAGGTATAAATGGGGGCCTCCCTGAGGCTGCGACCTCCTTTCCAGATCTATGGACTGGGAGAAGCTGGAATGAAAGGCTTAGCCTATAGCTCGGCCTGTGTCTAACTCACTGGCACTTTAAACGCACAAAAACCCCACATCCGCCTCCCTGTGGACAGAAGTCTCCCACTTGGTCTGAGGGGGCCCTTCCAAAGGGCGGGGAAAAGAAGACTGTGGCATCGGGTTTGACAGAACGGACGTATAGCGGGCCAAATAATGGCCCCAAAGATAGGGGTCCCAGTCGCTGCAACTGTGAATGTTACTTTATAAAGAAAAAGGGCCTTTGCATGTGGCGTGGAGTGAGGGCTCTTGGTGGGGAGATCATTCTGGGTTATCCTGTGGGCCCTAAATCTAATCCCGACCGTCCCTGGGGGAGGCAAACGGAGAGAACTCACCGAGCACGAGAGGAAAAGACACCAACACAACCAGGGGAGAGGCCCTGTGAGCATGAGGCAGAGATCAGGGCGATGCGGCCACGAGCCGAGGGCTGCGGGGGCCACCAGGCACTGGAAGAGGCAGCAGGAACCCCCCCATAACCTCTGAGGGAGCCCCCCTGACACCTTGCTTCTGAGTTTCTGTTATCCAGAACTGTGAGGGATTGGATTTGTTTTAAACCACCCAGTTGGTGGCCCTTGGTTACAGCAGCCACAGGACACACACACAACCCCATGAGCAAGGAGTCACAGCAGCCCCGTTGTTCTGTGGGCCCCGGGTTCAGTCCATTCCATTTCCCGTGGACTTTTCACTGTATCTTAATATTCTTGTCGCCGAGCTCTGCTTTTCAAAGTCTACCTGCTGCAGGCTCTTCCAGGAAAGAAAATGCCCCAAATCCAAAACCTCAGCCTGATGCGTTGATGGTCTTTAAGAATGCCAGTAAGCAGACGGCAGTTGGGAGCCCAGGTGTGCCTTGCAGCCCACTTGCAGGTCAAGCAGGAACGAGAATGAGATGGGATATTTTCATACTCGTTCTCGGAGGGGGCAGGCGTCCTGGAGTCGGTCCGGGCAACCCCCGAGCCACTGTACTTCGAAACTGTAAGAGGACAAGACAGCCTCCCGTGGCGCAGAGTGTCAGGGGTTCACGTCCGGACGGACGGCTGCACGCTCCAGTGAGACACGGCCGTGCTCTTCACTTCGCCTTGTCCCTGTGCCCAGTGTCATGGTGTTGAGAGGTGGGGCCTCTGGGAGGTGCTCGGTCCTGAGGGTGGAGCCCTCATGAGTGGGATCAGTGTCCTTATAAAAGGACCCCATGACTCCCTTGCCCCTCTCACCAGGGAAGGACACAGGAGGAGTCTGCCACTGAGAAGAGGGGCCTCACCCTGACCCGGGGCACCTCCAACCTCAAGAACTTGGAGAAATAGCCTTGGCTGGTGTAGCTCAGTGGATTGAGCATGGGCCTATGAAGCAAAGGGTCCAGGGTTCGATCCTTGGTCGAGGCACATGCCTGGGTTGCATGCAGGCCAGGTCCCCAATGGGGGACACATGAGAGGCAACCACACACTGATGTTTCTCTCCCACTCTCTTCTCTTCCCTTCCCCTCTCTCTAAAAATAGATAAATAAAATATTTTTTACAAAGAGAACTTGGAGAAATAACTGTCTGCTGTTCATAAGCCCCAGTGTGTGGCGTTCTGTTAGAGCGGCCAGAACAGACTAGGATGAGGGACAGGACTTGGGAGAGACCAAGGAGCAGAGCAGCGGATGCGCCAGGGGTGGGGCGCTCCTGTTTCTTTTCATTCCTTTTATAAGGTGACGATGCCCAGGAAATAAAAAGTCGTAAGAAATTAGAGAGATTTCCAGCTGCAATTCCTAGTCCTCTTCCATTGAAATGCTGTTGGTAAAATGGGATGTAGCTACAGAACGAGGAAGGAAGGGACCCATTTGTAGGCCAGCTGTTGAATGACCGAGGTGCCTGTTTGAAGAAGTTTAATAACACAGATATTCACTTGTACATTTGAACCATGTTTGGCCACGCTTCTCCTAGGACAGATGTGTCCGTGAACGTGTCTGCCGCTGACCGTGACTTCCCTCTCCTTCCCCCTCTCAGGCTGCCATCGCGAGGCGAAGTGTGCTGGTGGTGCGCCACGGGGAGCGGGTGGACCAGGTCTTCGGGAAGTCCTGGCTGCAGCAGTGCTCCACGCCTGACGGTAGGTCAAGTCCTGGCGGCCGCCACACACAGACACAAGGCCACTCCAACAAACAAGACCACGTCCCGAGTGTCCGAGCTGGAGTCCCTGTGGTGCCACTTGTAGAATGACTGGGTATAGATTGTGCATGCGACGGCCACTGCCGCACCTCTCCCGGTAGGCGCCACACGGAAGCATCCCAGTGTGCACGTCGTCTGTGAGTACATTAGGGCCAATGATTTGGGAGATGGAGGGACGGTTTCAACAGGAAGCGAGTCTGCTGGTGGGACACACGGACAGTCTGCTGACTCCTGCGGCACGCACCGTGTCTGCGTAGTCAGTGCAGCCTGACTTCCGAGCAAGCCACCCTGGCCCGAGGTCTCTGAACCCGCAGCTGCTGGTGCGTTCCCTGCCTCACAAGCTCATCACTCTATCTCCCTCAACTAGTCTTCACTGCGGTGGTCATTGCCCTAAATTGTTTGGCTCCCTTTCCCAACTGGAGGCAATGTTTTTGAACGTGTCTGCTGCTCACCCCAACCTCACCCCATTAAATGCAAAGAACTGAGGACAGGGCTTGGGATGCAGCATCCACACAAGCCAGTCTCTGCCCTGATGATCCACACCTGTATCACCGCCCATCCCCTGGGCACCAATGGGCAGCCACATTTTCTAAGCCCAGGCTGACTGTGTACATAAAGGTATCGAGTGAACACAGTGATCAAATCCATTCACAGTAGCTAAGCTGGTCGGGCCTTTGGGATCCCTCCAGAAGCCCAGCAGGCCAAGAAAGGGGGAAATGAACAGGGAAAGCCACTGGCAGATGACCTGCACCCACTGGAGAAATTCCGAGCCGCTCACATCATGACCGAATGTATCTCCAGGCACCTGCAGAGGGAGGGCTATGGCGTCTCCACAAAACAAGGTCAAGTAGAGACAGGTCTCGGGAAAGAAACAACAGGACAAGAGGTGGACATGAGGAAGGGGACTCGGTCCTCGAGAGAAAAGATCCAGCCACCTACTGGGGGAGATATTTTGAGGCACTGGAAACCACCAGGTTAGAGGTCACTGCTGGTGGGCCTTTCTCCAGGGTAACGAATCCCTTGATCGAGCGAGTGCTGACAGTCTAATTCGGCTGCATTTTGCAGGCTGTGCTGTTCGGTGAATTACAACAGGGCACTTGGGGCGCTGCCGGCCTCTCCTCTGAGTCCAGTGTTCTTCCTGATTTCTGCTTACTTCTGGCACAAGCACCCACCCCCTCAAGTGCCCCTCATGTCCCAGTGGTGCCAGCCCAGGGTGCCCCCTATTCTGCAGACTCCACTTCCATCAGAACCTAACCCTGCCCCAGAGCCCGGCCTTCTGAACTCTGCCCTCTGCTGCTCACGGTGACCACAAAGTGTCACTGAAGGCAAAAATGAAACGGAGCAGGTTGACATCTATGGAACCACAGATGGCCTTGGAGAATATGACACAACCGATGGGCCTTCTCTTTGAAGGAAAAAAAAACCCTTTCCCAGCAAACACAGCCAATGCTTTTGCATTTAATATGATAAAGGCCTTTAGAAGTGAGTGGGTGGTCCTTTCCGAAGAACCATCGAGACGGTGGAAGTGGAGCAGAAGCAGCGGAGCTTCCACAAGTTCACCTACCACGGTGGTCAGCCGCTGCACAACACAAGCAGCTGATGCAGCCATACAGCACCTGTAGCGGCGCCAAACCGGCATGTGGGGAAGCAGCTCTCACTGCCTAAGTACCTACGCAAGGCCCAGAAGGAGGCCCATCCACGGACACACCTGTGTCGGTGAAGATGCACCTGTGCAACATGAGCATCCTGCCAGAGCTGGTGGGCAGCATGGTGGGCGTGTCCAACAGCAAGTCCTTCAACCAGGTGGAAATCAAGCCTGAGATGATTGGCCACTACCTGGGTGACATCTCCATCACCTCCAGGTCTGGGAGGCACTGCCAGCCGGGCGTCAGGGCCACCTGGTCTCCGCTTCATCCATTTTAACTAGTCAAAAAAGGCACAGACTTCTCTTAAAGTCTTTGCCGATGGAATTTCCAGGGCAGGAGCTTTCAGAAAAATCATGGATGGAAACTAAAAAGCAAGGCATGTGCTGACCCTTGGGCACTGGGGATCGGCTGGGAGGCTGCCAGGGTGCGGGTGTGGGGTGTTAGGGGCTCGCCCAGTGGTGTGTACAGGCCGCAGGAAAGGCATCTGGGCTGCGGGAACCTGTTGTACCAGGAGGTTCGGGGGTGGCTTGGGTAAATGAGAGGGCTTGGCGTGGAGTGGTGTCCTCTGTAGGGTAATGGATAATTTGACAGTGAGATCAGACATGCCACTCACTGACCTCTTCCAGGAGCCGGGTTCGGGGCACTGGCTCAGTGATTCGAGGAAACAGTGTTTCCCGTATACTGGTTAATCTACTGAGGAAGATTAAGTCATTTGCTTCTAATCACACAGCCAGTACCCTGTGGTGCCAGGATTGGCACCAGACTGTCAGATTAAAGCTCAGGGTCGAACTCAAAGCCAACCACGGTGCTTTGCAGCCTCTGGGAGGGGTGGTGGGGGAGTCCAGGGCACCTTCCAGATTCCAGCCCCCGCTCAAGCAGTTGACTGAATAATGAACAGTGCAGGGGCATCTCCGGCCACGTGGACCCTGTCCCCATAGGCAATGTGACACACATAAGCTATTGGAATGGGTCACATTTCACCTAATTAATTAACGCCAACTGGAGATTCTTATCAGGTTAAGCTGTCAGTCTTGGAGATGCTGGGTTCTTACTCAGGAAAGCTGTGGGGGTGGGTCCGCAGGAGGGGTCCCTGGGGCCGAAACCTAGGTTTTCTGCATTTGAGGAAATGTGTGCTCAGTAAGGCAGCTTTTCTCCTGGAATTGGATCCACTCACAGAGCCCCTGTGAGAAAAAACAGTGGACGACAATTTAAATGCCAGCCCTACTTCTAACGGGTCTTGATCATGGCAGGGTTGTGCACTCACTTGAGGGAACTAATTGTCGGGTGCGCATTTGTGCTTTAGGGAAATACTACCGGCCAGACCTGAACTTCCCCTGCAGCCTGCCCCGGCGGGGCAACGGCCTCAAAGGCTTTGAAAACGATCCGCCATTATCGTCTTGTGGAATTTTCCAATCCAGAACTGCAGGTGAGTTGGAGCGCCTTTCTAGTGGGATTGGGAACAATAATCGTTGGCAACGGTTATCACTGACGCGTACTGAGCCCTTGCTACCTGTCCTTCGAAGTCAGTATTGGCATTTCGCCCTCTCTGCTGATGATGGAGCTGGGCCACAGAGAGGTTTGGTAAGCTACCCAAGGTCACACAGCAAGTTTTTAAGTGGAAGTTCAGAGATTTGACCCAGTATCGGATGGTTGGGGAGGTTGGGAGGAATGAAAGGCATGGAAGAACAGAGAGGGACTACCGTGTGCACTAAGGATGTCATTTTTAAACATTGTTTAAAAATACATCCCCTCTGTGATTTTATTTTAAAATCTTTGGGCCTTTGTTTTGTGTCTGGGGTTCTGGTTGCACAGGATTGACTTTTGGGCCCTTGGGTCCATCTGGTCTTTATTTCATGAATTAAGAAACTCGAATCTACAACCAGGAAGGCACATGGGCTTCCCAAGTCGCCCAGCGGCTGACAGAAGGGGCCCACGAGAGCCTGACGTTGCTGGCGCCTCACTGCTGGTCTGATGTAGGCATTCGGTCCCGGTGAGCTGGGCAGGCAGGATAGCTCTGATCCGCAGCACTTGCTGAATGCAGTGGTGTAAATCGTGTGCTCACACCCAGGCTGGTGTCAGGGCCAGTGTCAGGGCCACGGAGGTGAGTCACCTAACATGCAGGTAGGAGACAGGACACAGATGGGACACCCTCAGGTCAGTGTGACCTGCTCCCCACAGCCCTGGGGTGTGTGTGTGTGTGTGTGTGTGTGTGTGTGTGTGCGCGCGCCCTCTCTGTGAAGAACCTGTGCAGTTGTGTGCTTCATGCTGAATCCTCACCTGGGTGTTTGTACAACCTCCTCGAGTGTATTTGGAGTATCTGTGAGTAGACACACACGCGGCAGTTGTCAGCCGTCATACTACTTTCCTGGGGCTGCCGTGATCAAGAGCCACAGGTCGAGGGGCTTAGTCAACAGGAATGTATAGCCTCGCAGTTGTGGATGCAGATGCAGGCGGGGTCGTTCCTTCTGAGGCTGCGAGGGGAGAGTCTGCTCCGGGCCCCTCTTCTCGGTTTGTAGACGGGCATCTTCTCCCTGTGTCCAATGTCACCTCCCTCCTCTGTGTGTCTGTCTCTGTCCAATGTCCCCTTTTATTAAGGACAACAATCAGGTTGAATGAGAGGCACCCTCATAACCTCACCTAAACTCGATCGCCTCTGAAGGGCCCATCTCCAAAGCCAGTCACACTCTGGGGCACCGGGGGTCAGGACTCCCACGTGTGAATTTCGGGGGATGCAGTTCAGGCCGTGACAGCACCCACTAAAACCTCCTGACGGGGGTGCTGTAGCTGTTCTTCTGAGAAGGCCCCCTCTTTACCAAAGATGAGGTCCTCTCGTCTTGCAAGGGGAAGCGTGGCTCCCAGGCTTCAATTCCGCCAGCCCCAGGTGGCCTCACATCCCCGTCACCTCAGAACCGACTCCCAGGAGCTTAACTCAGCACCCACCAGAAATGCAGACGCAGCGTGGATGGGCTCTCTGTGCAGGGCCTTGACACCTGATTGCACAGTGCTGCTGGGCTGAGTTCCCATCTGAAGGCTCCCGGAAGCAGTCTCCATCTCAACCGGCTGTGGAAGTCAGCTCCTTGTGACTGTAGGACTGAAGTCTTCCTTCCCTTGCCACTGTCAGTGCAGGGCCACACTCAGTTCCAAGAGACCACCCACACTTCTTGCCACATGGCTCTTCCATCTTGGACCCAACAATAGGGCTTCTTACATGTTGAATCCTCTGCCTCTGAATCTCTCTGACTTCTGTGACAGCGGAGAAAATCTCTGCTTTTAATGGGCTCCCCTGAAGGGATGTCCCTCCTCCCACGAGACATAACAGTCACAAGGGTGCCATCTCCCCCTCTTCACCAGCTCCACCAACCCCAGGGGACTGTGCACCACGCACAGCAGGGGGTGGAAATCTTGTAGCCACTTCGGGTCCCGCCTCCCTCGGGTGGCAAGCCTGCCTCCCAGCATAGCCCCCACTGCGGGAGCAGGACCACACAGCGACACTTCCCACCTGCTTTCTTCCAGGAGAAGCACTACTGGACAGCGGCGCCCGGATCACCTCCGTGTTCGCCTCCCCGGCCCTCCGCTGCGTGCAGACCGCCAAGCACATCCTGGAAGGTCGGTGAGGACACAGTGAGCTGCTCGGCTTGCCTTGACCTCACGGTTGTCCTCCAAGGGGAGAGGGGAATGAGTGAAGGTGGGACCCGCAGGACTGGCAACGGGTGGGCCCGTGAGTCACAGACAGTCAGGGACCAGCCCTCTCAGAACCGCCAGCAGGTACTGAGCCCCTTGACATTCCGGGATGGTGACAGAGTGCTGGGGCCTGTCACTACTCGGTCCACCTTCGGTGGCTTCTGCTGTGTGTGTAGTATTTTTGTTTTGTTTTGTTTTAATTCTGGGGAGAGGCATTCAGAAAGCCAGGAGCTGGGAACTCCCACGAAGGCTGAGGTGGTTCAGAGGCCAGCGGCAGAGCTGGGGGCTTCGGCTGCGGGAGGAGGCAGGCACTGCCAGGGCGGGGCAGCCAGTCCTGGGCCCTCGGGCCGGCTCTTCCCTCTGGACCCTCCACACCCTCCTTGTGTGGGCCAGAAGGATGTGACGTGATGCACCTGCAGGAGCACGGGCCAGCCATCCACGGTGACAGAACAGAGGGACGGTGCGTGGGCACAGATGCAGCTGATGGGCAGATGTGGAGGAGGGGCCTGCCTTTACTTTCTCAGGGACACAGGGGGTCAGGTCACCAGCTGGCGTCACTGCAATGGCTTCCTCTTAAGTCTTATGGTCCTTTTCTAGTAATGATCTTAATCTTCGACTTCCTGCCCAACCTCCCTCACCATGGTGACAATGTCTGAGTAAGGAGACAAGGATGTCCTTTTGGCCGGCCTCCCTAACAAGAGAAGGACTGAGAGCTCCAAAAATACTTTCTATAACTTTACCCTGTGTCATCATTCATGGTTCTTTGTTATTGACATATATGTTCCAACTTCTGTGAGTATTTTTCTATGATTTGGGCCTCTTGCATCTAAAATTAAAAGTTCTCGAAAGTGTTTTCTGACCATGACAATGTCAATGTCTCTACTGGGACCCATCACTGACCTTTACTCTGTATGTAGATTATTCTCATTATCATGAATATGCCTGTTAAAGGGTTGACACACCCTAGGTTAGTAATTCAGAAAAATGAGGGCACCTGGCCTTCTTCCTGGGTCTTCCCACATGGCCAGCCCAGTTTTCAGACTAACATCTGAGACCCTACGTGCTAAACTTTAACTCAACACTGAGTCAGTGAACATCCTGATGGACCATTTCCCCATGTGTGACCACAGATCTGTGGTCTGGATGTCCTTGAAAGGAAGAGAGGCCAGCCCCACCTGGCAAACTCTCCAGCCTATTACTCTGTGTGACCTATTCACAGTGGACAGGAGCCCTTCCCAGGCTGGGGGACAGCATAGGGACCCCGTTAGCTGATTTCACTCTTTTCTGAACATGCTCACAAAGGAACCCATTGCATGGACCAGGGATACATTTTGGGGGCTGATTTTATTGCCAGCTTTTGAGTTTAATGCAGTTTTCTCCATTGCAAATAAAAACATTAAGGTCTGTTTTTCTTCCACGCAGAAAGAGATGGCCTTGCTTTGTAGGCGTTTTGGTCAAGATATAAAATGCTTGGGAAGGGTCAGTTGGGAGGAGTCAGAGTGTTGCAGAAAATGGTGTGTTTGTCAGGATGATATCGCATGTGGCTGACACCCTCCGAGATCGGTTGCATCTTGTGCGTGGATCACTGGATTGGCTGAGGCCTTATTAGGGCGCTCCCATCCCTGACCCACGGCCGGGCCCTGGTGCTGGTCTGGCTGTAGCGCTGCACTGACCAATCAGGATGAGCACCAGGCTGGACCTGCTGCTGGTGGTACAGGGAGACTGGGAGACTGTCCTTTCCTCCTGGACAGAAGGTCATCACTCCTCTGACACCTTCCAACTACCTCGTGGTTTGTGTCTCAGAAATGGTACAACCATAAGTGATCACAAAACAATATTGACCAAAACCAAAAATCACATTTTTAAAAGGTATTATTTAGACCTAGGAAGAGACCTATTTACATAAAGCCAAAATGGAAACATGAAAATGATAAACCCTTGTATTTTGTTCGACCCAGAGCTCAAACTGGAGAAAAAAATGAAGATACGCGTGGAGCCCGGGATCTTTGAATGGACAAAATGGGAGGCCGGCAGGTCCACCCCGACCCTCATGACCCTGGAAGAGCTGAGAGAGGCGAACGTGAACGTCAGCACGGAGTACAGGTGCGCCGTCCACACAGCGTCTGCGGCGGGGGTTCCCCGGCTCTCACTGAAGGTGGTGAGGAGGGGTGGCTGCAGTGGGCAGGTGCAGGGGGGACACAGACTGGACTCAACTCCGAGTGTAGTCAGGACGAAGGGTAATGTGCCACTGAGGAGCGGGGTGTGGGGTTGGCGGGTGGGAGGGATTTCTGAGAGGGTCAGGGAATTCATATAAACTGACCTAACGGCATTCCTGACAGAGGTCAGCCATGGGGTGGGCGGGGGCAGAGTTTGCTCAATCAGGAAGAGGGACCAATATCCAGGGTAGAGGACTCTTCCTAAACTGGCTTAGCAGGATTCTTGCTAAAATGGAGCCTATGAGGACAAGCACTAACGCCCAAAGTTTAGGCCTATTGAGACGGGGGCTCAGAGGAGCCTGGCTAGACTTAGATCAGAGTGAACATCTCTGTCATTCCCAGCCAGTGGCTGACTCTTTGCCATCACAGACCCCATGTGGTGTTCAGCCAGAATGCATGCCGGGACAGAACAGCAGTCCTGGGCCAGTTTGGGGCCCCAAACTGGAGCCACATTGTGGAGAGTGAGCCCTGCCTTGAGCAGAGTGGTCCTGGAGGCCGTCCATCCTGAGCACACGCATCCATCCTGACCCCACTGAGAAGGCCAGCGAGACAGCCGTGCCCTCTCTCCCCCTCAGGCCCGCATTCCCCTTCGACGCCCTCCTGCCAGCCGAGAGCTACGACGAGTTCGTGCGCAGGTGTGCGGTGAGCGTGGAACACATGCTCAGCGGCTGCCCGCAGGACGGTGAGTGCCCGCCGTGCTCGGCACGAGCCGCCCCGGGGGCTTGGGATCTTCCCTCGGCATGGAAACCGTACCCTCTTTTGAACTTAATAATTCCCCAACCTTTCTCCCCACTCCCCAGCACCAGAGTGTCACCCTGCTGCCTGTACGGCACCCCAGCACATAGATACACAGTCCCCGCCCCTCAGGCCCTGGGACCCCAACCCTGGGACTGAGAGCCCCTGGGACCCAGGACAGCAGGGTCAGCGCGAACCACCTGGGCCAGATTCTTGGGAAACAAAGAGAGCAGGAACCAAACCACCACAGGTCGGGACATGTTCGCATGACGACGGAAAAAATGCCTGTACCGGTACCGTGGGTTGTCGAGGCCGTCGGAGAAACTGGGACATGTTGGAAGGCAGAATCGCTGCAGGAGCTTTGTCAGTCCTGTTAGGAGTGGTCACAGCAGGCTGCCTGTGTGTGAACTCGAAGTCCTTCTCGTCTGGGGGCACAGACTGAGGTGTCCCCTGTGGGGCGGTCCGGTGTCCGTGCTCTAAAATAACATCGCGGGCAGAGAGCAGAGGACACAGGATGGGCTAGGAGTGGACAGCTGCCGGTGCTCGGTGACGGGTGTGAGGGGAGCCTCGAACCCTTCTGTGCCACGTGCAGGAAGTGTCCACGGTGAGAAGGTGGAAGTCGGCTTTACAAAAACTTAAGTCAGCGAGTGTGTGTTGAACACCAACAATGTGTCAGTGTCACACAAAACGTCATGGGCCATCTAAGTGATGAAGATGTGCTCTGCCCTTCGGGAATTTGAATATTGCTGGGGGAGGGGCACGAACATCTGGAATATTAGTAACACAGAGAGGAAGAGTCTCAGACAGAGTCCGTAAGAGACCACCCAGCCCGCTCCATCCCCTGTGTTCTTTCCCGCCCCATCCCTCAGCCAAGATGCTCCAGGGATGAAGAACTCGGACAATGAACCGTGGGAGGAGCTGAGCACCCGGCCCCTGGTCTGTACAGGAAGAGCCCCTAGACCTTGCCGAGTCCGGCATAAACACGCCTGGCCCTGAGGATGCTTAAGTTGCCGGTTTTGACTGGTCTGAACCTGGGGAACATACTTTTGGAAACCATGCCTTTGTGACATTGGATCAACTATCGAACACCTATTGTTGTTCATGTGCCTTCCACTGAGCTTCTCAGGGTCGCACCCTGGCCCGCCGCTTTCTGGCTGTCCCATTTCAAGCCTCCGCCACCAGCTGAACGTCTGTGTCTAGGGATGACCCTCCCTCCCAGGGATCCACAGCCCTTGGTGAGAGCACAGACGCAGAACCATCACTCGGTCAGCCCCGTGGTTTTCTGAACACTGTGTGGATACCGCCCACTGCAGGGAGCACAGCCCATCCGTCCAAGCTGGTGGCCAGTGGCCAAGGCGGCAAGGATGCAGCCCCGAGTAGCAGCACGAGGAGGAGTGGAGGCCAATGTGCCTGGGAGTGGGAGGAGCACCTGAGCAGGGCAGGAGGGCGGGAGGGGTGGGCAGCAGTGGGCAGAGCAGCAGAAGTCCAGCTGAGCCAGAGGGTACAAGCTAATACCTAGCGATCCCCTGGCACAGGTGGGCCCTTCACAGACATTACCCGTTAACTCCTCGCCTTCCTGCAGGGTCTGAAATCCCACCTCGACTTAACGCCGCGCAACTTTGAAGCTCAGAGGGGCTGAGAGGCTTGGATGCCCAGGTCACCCTGCTGGGGACCACAGGCCAGGGGTCAAACCTGTGTCTCCACCTCCCAGAACAGCATCCTGCCATGAGTTTGGAGGCCAAAGACACAAGTATGGAATTAATAGGAAATATCACAGGAGCTTCATTCAATCTAGGTGTCACATTGCAGAAGCTAGAGTCACATTAACAGGTGACAGGAACAGTCTGCTCAGTGTCAGCCTGGTCTTCGAAGGAAGAGCTCTCCCAGTCTGATTTCCTCCTCTAGGTGGAGCCAGTGAGTCTGGCCAGGACCCCCTCCCCGACCCGCCCTTGCACCTCCACTGCTCCACTTTGTCCTGGCTTTGGCTCCCTTGTCCTGTCACCTGAGGGAGACTCACTCAAGCCAGTGGACTCAGGATGTCCTCATTGGAAGTGAGTCATCAGCAAGCTCATTGAGATTAACCGGCTGATAACTCTCATGCTAATCAGATCAGGCCTGGGTGGGGGCAGCTACCACTTCACCCCTGAGGCTCACGGCTGCAGCTGCCACCCCAGACCTGGCCTGAGGACGTGATTCACTCTGAAAAACCCACCAAATGCAATGAGAGGCCCGACTGTGTTACTGAGCAATTAAGGACCACGCACACATGCTCCATCCCGGGCCTCTCAGGGCTGTGGGGCACCAGGAGGTAGTTTCACCCCAAGAATTTTGGGGACCCCAGTCTAATAAAAGATGCTCTCTATGCCTGCTCAGACCTTGAGCTGTTTTTTACCCCGCAGCAGGCATCGTCCTCATAGTGGGCCACGGCTCGGCGCTGGACTCCTGCACGCGCCCGCTGCTCAGACTGCCGCCCAGAGACTGCACGGACTTCGCCCAGTTAGTGAGAAAGGTACCTCCTGCCCTTTCCTCCCTGAGCAGCCCAGGGACGCAGGCCATCTTCACACCCCCTGCTCAGAATGAACACCAGTGTGCTCACAGCCCAGGGAAGCAGGGACCCGCCCGTGCTCTGATAATGTGCCTGCCTGCTCTTATGCAAAGGGTGGCCTTGGGCAGGGGGCTGGTGGGAGAGGTTTGTCGTGAGGCCATCGGTAGGGCAGCTTTGGCCATCTGCTGCTGGGATAATATAAAAAACAAGACACAGGACTTTTTAAAGGTCAGTTCACATGATAATCCCTTGCCACGCTGGCAGTTGAGCAGATGGTCCTGTAAGGAGTAAACAATTTGATAAAAAGGGAAAGGACAGTGTCTGAGCTGGGCTGACTCACTCTGGGGATGGGGGTGGACAGAAAGGAACCCCACCCCCGGCCTGGGGAGCCACCCAGCCCTGCAACACACAAGAGGTGATGTAGCTGCCACAGTGATCAGCGCTGGGCCCAGCTATGTAGACACTTCCGGGAGAAACAGGTGACAGACACACAGAGAAGGGTAATGGGTGCTTGGGCCAACTTGCAGAATGTCACCAGCAAAGCATAAGTAGCTTTTATCCATTTAGTGTGATAAATCGAGGTAGATAGACTCGCAAAGTGAGACCCACCACCCACCCCTGCCCCAATCACCTGCTCATGGCCAGTGTGCCCTCTTCCCCCCCTTGTCCTTTTACCAAATCGACCAATTAATTGACCAGTGGCCTAGAGGCTGGGAGTACAGGGCTGTGGACCACACCCAGGACAGGGGATAGGTCCATGACGTGGCTCCATCCCACGAGATCACCAGGGACCCCCGGCAGCCACGGCTCATCTGCCATCGGTATGGGCAGAAAGTTGTCACCCAGCCCCTGAGGGCTGTGGGGGCTGCAGAAAAGTCCAGGCAATGGACTTTCAGCTCTGAGCCTGCGCCAGACTGGGCTTCCCCTCCCCGCCCTGCCAGAAGGAGCGCATTCCTTCCTCACCTGGGGAGGACCAGAGGCTCTGCACCCGAGACGCTCCTCCATCTGATGCCCCATGTGCCCTCTCGATCTTGTCCCAGGTTCCTCCGGACCTGAGTAGAAACTTTTCCTTTCCCAGGTGTCTCCAGGGGGTATTTCCCAATTATAATCCAGATATGCCCACACCCTCCCTATTCCAGAGCCGCTGGCTGACCCCGGTCCAAAACATGGCTTTCGCTTCCTCAGGCCGCGACTTCCATGGAGACTTTTCTAAGGGTTCACCTTGCCAGCCATAATGCCACCTGCTCCCTCAGTGTGGCTCTTGCTCCTGCAATCGTCACTGCCTCCCTCCGTGTACCCCGACGCTGTCCGCATGCGCTGCCACCCCTTCTCACAGTCCCCATGTCCGTACAGACAGCAGCACCGCACAGGCCCCGGTGCGGACTGAGAGTGACAAGTTGGCGCTGTTCCAAAAACTCATTTGTCTTTGTGACCAAATTCCCACCCTGCCCCTGACCCTGGGCTCCCCTGTCTGGATACTGGCCTTGAATTTCCAAACTCCCTCAATTTTCTTAGGCTGACGAGTTGGTGTCTGCCTACCCCACCCCCAAATAGACTGCACTTGACCTTGCGTGTCAGACACTCATGAAGGAGCTCTGCCCAGCCTCAGGCTTTGCAGACAGAGCATCCACCCAGAAACGGACCGTTCATGCCCCCCCCCCCACCCCTCACACCCCGCCCCCAGACTCTCTGAGCAGAAGGAGGATGTCATCCCTGAGTCATTTCTGCGTGGTGGAATTTTTGCAGATTTTATCTGACCAAAGAATTTCTAGACATTAAAGAGAGAGAGGAAGAAAAGGAAAGCAAAAAACATAACCAAAAAGGCCTGAAAAACAAAGGTCTGAGAACTCGTACCTTTGTGTGAGGCTAAATTTGAAAACGTAAGCCGCTCTTTGAAGGGGGCACAGGGTCCCCAGCCTCAGCACTGCGGACGTGTGGGAGGGGCAACTCCGCACGTGGGGGCGTCCTGTGGGTGTGGGGTGTTAGCAGCACCCCTGTTGTGACCAACGAAAGCGTGAGCAGGCATTTCCCACGTCCTGGGGCTGTTCCCCATGGGGACCACAGTGTCCGGGGCACCCCCCCCCCCACCAGCCTCCAAGGCGTGCTTGTCAGGTCGGCTTTGGGACAATCTATTGACCTGGTATGAAGTGTTAGTCAGGGAATGATCTCACTCTGTTCTAGATTCCTTCTCTGGGAATGTGCTTCTGCGAAGAAATCCGAGAGGAAGGAAAGTGGGAGCTGGCGGCCCCTCCTGTGAAGACACTGACCCACGGCTCCAACTCCGCGTTCGACTGGAGGAACTGGATCCTGGGCAACTGAGAGCCGCTGTCCGGCGGCCAGGTCACTCGGCTCCGCACGAGGAGGCAAAACCCGCGCAGAGGCTGCGCAGTGCTGAGACTTGGCGCTCTCTTAGCCTCGCCGAATGTGACTTGCAGAAGCACAAAAAGCACTTTCGGAGCCCAGGGAGCCTGCTGTCACTGTCCCTGTCACGTCCGTTGCCACCACCTGCAGATCAGCAACCCCGAGGGCCCGGCTGCAGGCGCCACCTTGCCCCGTGTCTGTCACGTGGCTCGGAGGGAAAGGAGGACTGTGACCCTCAGTTCCAGGAAGCCAAGACCCACCACACCCACGCCAAATAGGGTATCTCCACTTGATTTTCCATGCCTTTATCCGTCAGGTTCCCGGCCGTTTTTCCCTTCTCTATTTTAATCACTCTTTGGCTACGTCCACATGAACAGAAAGAGGTAGGATAGTCACTAAAACCAAATGAGAAACTATTTATAAGATCAAAACCAGGAAGCTGCTGCTTGGGGTCCACCCCCAGCCCCCGCCCAGCCCCGAATTAGTTTTTGGTTGCTGCGGTGACAAACACCACACGGAGCGGTGGAGACAACACACATTTTAAAACACACACACACATACACACACACACACACACACACACACACACACACACTTCATCCTGCTGCACTTCTGGAGGTCACAAGTTCTAATCCATGTCAGCAGGTCCATGCCTTTCGAAGGTCCAAGGGCCAGTCATTTCATCCCCTTCTCCAGCTTCAAGAGGTGCCCCAGTCCTCGCCCCCTAGCACCTCCCTCCAGCTCCAAAGCCTGCGGTGTCCCCTCTTCAAACCTGTCTCGTCCCTCTGCTCCACCGGTCACGTTGCTTCCCACTTCTGACCTCCTGTCTCCCTTTTGTGAGGTCTGACGGCTTCTGGAAGTGGACATCCTATCACCAGGGACCCCTCCATCTGCCCGTGACCTCATCTCCTTGATTCTCTCACCAGCTAATCCAGGATAATCGCCCCATATCAAGATCCTTAACTGAATCCCAGGTGCAAAGGCCCTTCAGCCTTGGAGGGGAGCGTGCGCACGGGCATGGGGTTCAGATGTGGACATCTCTGGGGCTGCCCTTGAGCACACACACCCCCAACCCATCGGGGCTGCAGTCACTGGTGGGAGGGTCTGAGACACCCCCTAGTAGAGGTCTTTTTTAGCTTCTCCTCTCTGCTTCAATCAAGTGGAGAGGGGAAGTGGGCTTTGCAAGTGGGGGGAGCAGGTCCTTCCCTGGCTAACAGGGGAGACAAACCAGAGAGGGACCCGCCAGCAAGGTGAGATGTGCCCAGGTGGGTGTGAGTGAGATGCGCACCTGACTCGGAGAGGTTAGTCCAGACGGTTTGGGGGGGGGGTTCCCAGTGGTGTCCTCCCACCCCATCCCTGCTGAAGAGAAAGACTAGTCCACGCCAGGGCTCAGAGATAGGACGTTGTTACCATAGGATGTGCCGCTCATCCCTGTCACTCTGCTTGCTCTCCGGATGGCCCAGTGCCACACCAACCTTACTAACCTCGATGATGAATAAAAACTTGGCCAGTCAAGTTCATGGACTGTGGGGTGGTCTAAAGATGTCTGGATTCACCCTCCGGGGGGTGAGGCTCCTGAGTCTCATGCCCTTGGGTAACAAGAGGGGCAGATAGTGACCCTTGTGAGAGACACCAAGGTGCACTTGGATCTCGATCTCAAGGTCAAATGCACAGGAAACACCGTTTTGTCTATATTCTATAATCCTGGTCTGACAAGACACCCCCCTCCCCATTCTGCTGCAGTGACAGAAGCGCCTCGTCTGGCCATACTCAGCTGCCAGAATGAACCCCACTGTAAGGACTGCATCCTGGGGACAGTCCTGGGGAGGCAGGGCCGGAAGTGGACGCTGACCACTATTTGGCTTTTAACTCTTGTGAACTAATGGATAACCAAAACTTAAAGGAAGGAAGGAAGATCTCAGACCTCTCTCTTTTGTCTTTCCTGTGCCCACTGGTCCCTTGTATTTATGAGCCTAGTCTGACCCCTGCTGACGTCATCTGGAAATGGATGCCCTGTTATCAGGGACCCCCTTCTGACCTCATGGCCTGGATTCTCTCATAGGGGGCCTTGAAAACACAGACCTGGAGAGAAACCCCTCAGGCTTTGCTTGCATCCCCGCCCCCACACCGGGAATGTTAATGGTGGTCATATATGGTGTGGTCTTCACGCCTCAGCACTTGGCTCTTTTGGAAGATGGAAGGTGACGAAACTGGGAGGAGGAGCTGGCCTCAGGCTGGGTCACCAGGGAGCTGAGAAGCCTGACGCAGTGCCTCTGGCGGAAAAGGACGCAGGGACAGGCCTGGGGCCGCAGCCCCCTGGCCAGCGCTGTCCTGTGTTTATCTGAGAAGAGTCCTCATGACTTTCTCCTGCAGTAAGTCTTATTTTGGAACCAAATTTGAAATGTCATAGATATGATTCACGTTGGTGAATTTTATGGGCCGAGTGGTATGTGTGTGTCCCTCACCCAAATTCATACGTTGAAGTCCTAACCTCCAGCGTCTCAGAATTTGCCATTAAAGAGGTAATTAGAGTAAAACGAGGTCACTGGGGTGGGTCCGGACTGGGGTGGGTCCGGATCCTCTGTGGCTGCTGTCCTCAGGAGGAGAGATTGGGACACGGACACGCAGGGAGGGACACCCATGTGAGGACACGGGGTTTATCCCGAGGCCTCTGCACACCAAGGAGGGAGGCCTCGGGAGGAAGCGCCCAGCCGAGACCTTGACCTTTCACTTCTGGCCTCCAGAAAGGCGAGCACATGAGGACCTGCTGTTTCCGCTTCCGGGCCTGAGGCACTTCGTCACGGCAGCCCCAGGACCCTCGCAGGTGGAAACCAGAAATGTGTCCCTGTGGAGGGCTGAGCACGGGTCACGTGTGTCGCCCAACACGGGCACCTGCAAGCGGCCCTGTGGGAGCGCGTGAAAACGCCCAGGCCCGTACGGCACCTCCCTAGGCTTTTCTGTGCTGCTTTCTCACCTTAAACATAAAACTCTGATTCCCTGGGAGTGGTTTCTGTGAGGAGTAAAGGCAAGCACACGGGGCCCAAACGTCCTCCCGCTCCCAGCCCTGGGGCAACTCGGTCTGCTGGCGTTGGTGCCCGAACCCCTGGAGCTCCTCCTTCCCGCCTCCACGTGCCTCTGGGAGCCCCCCAGGGAGCTCAGGGGGCTCAAGAAGCAGTCCACGGGACACACTGCCTCTGAGCCTCCCCCACCCACTGCCCCCCTCGGCCCCCTTCCCCAGGAGACCGCTGGTGGCTTTGCCAGCCGGCCAGCCATCGGGAGGAAGGCAGGCCCCTGCTGGGGTCACTGCCAGTGTGCCCAGTGCACAGTGGGGTTGCAGGGTCTCCTCCACTCTGAGCCCATTTGTCACCTGGTCTCAGGGCCCACCGAGTCTTACAGACAGTCTGCACGGCTCCCTCGCCCTTCTCCAGAGCCCCAGATCAGCCCAAGGAGCCGTGGGGGGCAAAAGGAGAGAGCAGAGGCGCCCCTCCCCACCCACATGCAGAGCCCCTGTCCCCGCATGTGGAGGGACATGAATTCAGCCAATGACTCCACTCCAAGGTCAAGTCCGGACATCAGTCGCTTTTGTTTATGCCAACTCCTTCAGGAGACATGGTGACAGAAGGTGTCCCGTTTGCCTGGCTACGACAACAAAACAAAACATGCAGTCTCGGGGACCCGTGAGAACTTTCACGGCACGTTGACGGGCACAGGGACTGAAGGGGGGGTGGAACGCAGGCCGTGTCATTGTGTAGAAAGATGCAGTGTCATAAAGATGACATGTCCCCAGATTAACCCACAGACTGGGTTCTAAAGTTCATACAGGAAACAGATATCCAGGAAGAACTAAAGGAATCCAAAAACGGCAATGGGTTGATAACGTGTTTTACAGCTATAACGACTACAAATGTGGCAGCAGCCCTGGAGTTTAGACAGTTCAAGGGTGTAAGTAGAAACACCAGCAACTGGCCCCCAAACGTGTGGGGGGTCACAGTGGGGTGGTAGGCGGGCCAGGGAAGGTAGATGATTAAGTCAACAGCGTGGAGAAACCTGGGCCGCTATCTGGGGGCAAGAACGTTGGGATCATTCATTCCTCACTCATTACACACACCAACAAAAAATTAAAGATTTAAAAGTAAAAAAAGAAACTGTGAAACTACAGGAGTAGTCATCATGTAAGAATTTCAAAAAAAATTCTCAGAATGGGAGCAGGTCTTTGCCACCGTGCCGCAGACCTGCAGAATGCCAAGGGAGAAATAGAGAAAGTCAACCAAACCGCTTTTAGGTCTGCTTTGTAAAAAGCACCAGAAACAAAGTTTAAAAAGTAAAAGCTTTGTGCTCCTCTTAAACGTGGTCCAGCCCACCTCCTCCACGGAGTCCCCCTGGCTGTCCAGCCTGCAGAGCCGGCTCCCTCAGGACCCCAGGGTGGGTTGGTCTGCTAATCCTTGGCCATGTTCTGCTTTGTCTGCTGTTTGCTGTCACTGGTGTGTGTGTGGACATGGCTTCTTTCAGTGGGCTGCAAGAGGGAATGTATCAAGTTCAGCGTGAGCTCAGGACCTGGGCAGGGAGTGGCACTCGGTAACAGATAGTGATTCATCCACAAAACTGCTCGTTCCTGTAGCCCAGGGTTTCTCAGCTTCAGCGCTGTTGACATTTGGGGACAATAAATAGCCTAAGTGAGTCACCCAGACGCACTTTCTTCCAACTGGAACGAGTAGGAGGGGTGAGCTTAGCTATCCACAGTGACTCCGTCAAGCCTTTGGCTGCAGCTTCTGGAATATAGGAACATACCGGACAGAAGAGCAAGCGAAGGGAACCCCGATGCTCCCAGGAGGAGAGACGTTCTGCCAGGTAACGGCTCAGACTCTCCCAAACCAGTCACGCCGGGGCCAGCACAAGGTGCAGGGTGTGACGGGTGTGACGGGTGTGAGGGTTCGCCGGTGCCCCTTCCAAACCCTGACAGTGTGGTCACACGGTTATGGGGTTGTGTGTATTTTGCAGCAGTGACCACCGTAATCACCAAAGTCCTCTGTCTCCCATGCGGACCCATGTCCCCCCTGTGGCAGGTGGCAGGAGAGCAAGTACAGGCACATTTAGAGTGACTCCGAGGGAGCACCGAGTGGGTCAAATTAGGGACAGACTTAGCATTTGGGGGGTGGGCTATACGTGCATTGCTAGCTGTTCTGCAGTGACTTCCATGGCTAGGTCCCTCACTGCTGGCTGTTCTGGACTTAGCCTCCAGAAATACTCCTGACACCCACTTTGTTAATGTAAGAATGTGATGTAGAGGTGTGGGGTTGAAGGTCAAATCTCAGTCCAGACTCGTCCCACAGACCCAGCACCAGAGCCTGTGGAAGCAGAGAAGAAACGAGGGTGGAAGTGTGCAGAGCCAAGTGCTAGTCTGCAGAACCGATGGTGGCCCCCAGGCTCGTCTGGCAGTGGGGCAGTTTCTCACCGAACCCCTTCCATCCCCCCTTCCACCCCCTCCCCCATGCAAACAGAACAGCTGAAGTCAGGCACAGGAGGCTGCAATGCAGTCCTGAGCACTGGGGGTTAGCTGCATGCTGGTGGGAGGGGGTCAGTTAGAAACTGCCCAGCCCTGCACAGCGGCCTGACAGCGACAGGTCAGGGTGTGAGGCCATTTCGTGCCCTGACCCCTCAGGTGGGCACAAACCACAGGCAAGGAGCCACTGTCCCTGTCGTGCTCATCTCCCTGTAGAAAAGCTACAAAACTGTTGTCAGAAGAGCAGACGACCAAAACATACGCTAGCAGAAAAACAGAGAAAGAACAGAGTTGTAATAGGGAGTGAACTAATAGTAATAATCTGATAGTTTTCTAGCTGCTGTGCTGTTTGTGAATTTGCCAACTTTCTGGTTTGTAACTTTTTAGAAATCTCTGTCTCCAGTCTAAATAAATGTTTGTTGCGATGTAACTTTTTATTCATAATGCTGTGTGCTTTTTCTTAAAGAGGCCGGATACTGTGATACTGAGTTCATGGTGCATTGTTCTTAAAGAGGCCCCTGTTTAGGGACATAAAAACCAGAAGTAGGACATGGTCTGGGGTTCGGCAGACCAACCAGGAAGGACGTTTAGGGGGAACTGAAGAAACTTGCCCCCTGAGTGACCCTGGGGACAGAGGAGAAAGGGGGACGCAGAGCTGGGAGATGGGAGGCAGGGGCCCAAACCCATGCTAGGGGGACAAAGGAGGGGCCAGGAGGGGCTGATACTCAAAAACTGTGAGGGGGCCTGGGTGTTAGCCTCTAGCCCACTAGGAGACCTGAAGGGTGTATACACAGGCCAGGGCCACCCCTGTGGGCAGCCTTGCCCCCAGGCCATCGGCAGGGACCCCCATCAGGGAGGCCCCAAAATCATAGTGACATGCTGAAGCCAGGGGAAGGGCAGGAGCACGCCCTCCAGTGGCCACTTCCGGGCCTTGCACAGGGCTGAATTATACTTATGTTGTGGTTTACGAGAATCACACAGGAATTCTTACTGTCCAGGGGTCTCCCTGGCTCTCTTGAGGGCAGTCCGAGAGAGGAAATTCAGCGCATAGTGACCGCACCAGCTCGGCCAGAACTTCCCACCACATCTGCAAGGCACAGTGGTACCCCGCTCTCTATCCTAGAAGACACCCCTGAAAACCAGGGCAAGATAACCTGGCAACTTCCACGTAGAGGACTGGAAGCACAGGTGACTTCATCTACAAAGGAGAATGAGGACATTTATTTGCCATCATAAAACGTCTTCACAAACTAAGTAAGAAAGATTAATGACTGGTTGGCGTTAACTCCAGAGAGACAGACATTTGCAGGGCACAGCCCCCACCCTTGGCGCCCCATCTTAGTCTGGAGGATCGGACTGTCTCAATTCATCCTCTTCCAAACTCGCATTTCCTGGGAAGGAAAGGGAAACATGAGTACATTTGATATGAACTTTTTTCTATTTTAAAACTCTTTATTTGCTGGACTGGATAATTCTCTGTGTGGGGGCTGTCTGGTGACCACAGGACACTTCACAGATCCTCGGCTCCACCCGAGGGGAGGCCAGCACACTGCCTGCCACCCTGCCCAACCCTCCGAGTCCCCAGACCTGGCCACATGTCCCCTGGAGGCCATGCTCCCTCTCCAGGGGATGTTCCCTCTGTCCAGGCTGCTTCAGGAAGCTGAAGTCTTAGACACCAGCTGGTCCTGATGTCTCGGCCTCAACCTAACCTCCCCCTCCCATTCTCAGACTCCTCATCCCGAGTATTGCTCACACCTGTCCCCTCCCTTTGCTTCCCCCACCATGGCTTCTGGGTGGAAACTGACCTACTTTGTTCTGAGTGGAGCCCCTGCCCCTGCCTCCTGCCTGGCCCCTGGGCACCCACTCCCACCAGCCCCAGAGGAGCGCCCTCCCTAGAGGCTCCCTCCCCACGATGATCAGGACCAGGTCCAAATGCCCCCTCAAGCTCTCCAGGAAAGGCCATCGGAAAGGGACCCTGCCCTGCTCCCCACCCCCGGACTCTGCAGCCTGTCTGGGCAGCATTTCCTTCTCGGTTGCGACGTTCCTGCCCTCTCCAGCAGCCTCAACTCGGCGGCAGGCACCCCCTTCTCAGAAGTACTTCCTAATGCTGCTCCAGGTGAGTCATGCACCTGTCCTGCACACAGAGGTCGCACGACAGACACACAGCAGGCACGCTGAAGTCACAAGGCGGTCCAGTCGCTGACGTCCTTCGAGCTCTCTGCCCATTCCACGGGGGCTGAGCGAGAACTGTGTCTGCCACCTG